GGGGATATAACCAAATTAATTAGAATAACTTATTACAAGGGGACGATGATTGCTAACTGCAGATGTCTAAAGTTCGGACCCCGGGCAGATAAGGCTCGTTAGCAGGGGTCAGCAACCAATTTAGGAGAGAAAACTCAAAAATCCAACAACTGCTGGCTTGGGTTGAGCAAGGCTCTGGAATATCCAGACAGAAAAAACTGAAGTTAGAGTCAACTGGTCATATGACGTATAATATGTTGACACACGATACTTTATCGTGTTGGATTAAAAAAAAAATGATATTACATTTTAGAAGAACTTGGGCAGATGAGGCTCGTTAGCTGGGGACAGCCACTCTTCTAGGAGAGACAACTCCAAAATTAAACAACTGCTGCCTTGTAGTTTGTTCTTGGTTGGACAAAGGCTATGGAAGCAAATCCAAAAAGAAAAGCAGGCTGAAATCGGAGTCAATGGCCTCAATGGCGCATAACCAGTTGACACGTAACGCTTAATTGTGTTGGAGGCGTGGTCGAGTCGGCAAAAAGATCATGGTTGACAAATTCGAACAAAGTCTCGAGTTTAAACCCACTGGCAGATAAATCTCAATCCCCTTAGAAGAAGGAAGAAGAAGAAGAACAAAGAAAAAGAAGAAAAAAGCAAATCTACAAAAATAGCTACAGATCTGTTGTTTTTTTACATGTGTTTAAAAAAGCGTGTATGCTGAGATTGACCAAAAAATTACATTCCAAAACATTAACGCTAGTGTATTATGTGCAGCCATTGGACAAAGGGCTACGTTTATGTATAGGCAGCGCGCAACCCTCCCTTCGTCAATGGTTTATTTTAAGCTGGGAAAGAAAAAAAAATGTAACGACCTCACGGGTTTCCGTAGCTTTATTATAAAAGGAGTGTTACGGTTAGATTCACTTTAAGAGTTATTTACATTGCTGTTGAACGTCCAGGAATCGGAACATGCTACTAAAGTGGGTGAATTTTTCAATAATTTGTAATTTTATAAATTATCGTACTTGTTGTTTTTTTCCTTAAAAATTAATTTAATTTTAAGTTTAAGTAATTGAATTGTTTTATTTAATTTAGTTTGTGGCTCAATTAGGTTTTAGTCTTATTCAAGATTTTTGTGGTTTAGTTGAGTAAGGACACGATTGTTAGTTTTTACTTTAAACCAGGTTTGCTTTTGTTTACGCTTAATTAAGTAAAAGAAATATGCCCGTATATGAGTGTGTGTTTTGGTTAAGTTTTGGGCTACATTTACAAGAATATGTTTTCCTTAGTATACCAGACTCGCCTTGATTCTATAAGACTTTACATTAAGATTTGACTTTGTAACTGTCTGCTGGTGAAACTAGACGAGAAACAATTGCAGACGTTAACTTACATAAATTATCTTACTTTGTGATGTCTTAAAGAAGACGTTTAATAAAATAAAAAAGTGTCCATTAATGCGTGTCTGTAGAATTATTTATTTTAAAATGCACCCTAAAATCTATTTTATAAATCACTTTTTTGGATCGTATAAAATTTTGCGCTTCGATTTTTAACTTAATTTGTTTATTGTTAAAAGAAGAGGATAAGTCATACATTTTAGAAGTGAAGATTTATTGTAGCGATTAATCTGTATATATATATATATATATATATATATATATATATATATATATATATATATATATATATATATTATAATACTAATAGTTTCGCTGTCTGTCTGTCTATCTGACAAGAACGCTCTGTCTGACAAGAACGCTCTAGAGAAAACACAAGCAAAATAAAAACATGCACAGTAATTCGAAAAACGAAATATGACGTCGACACATTTAGCGTAGAGTAGAACATAATCTCAAACCAGAGAGTGCACACAGTAAAATGACGTCATTGATTATCGCGTAAACATTGAAAAAAAGGAAATGTTGTCTAATCTAAATGGTTTGCGTGAAGAGTTTCTTGCATACAATTCTTCGGGTAGGGGCGAAGCCCCACCCCCCGCGTAAGAACGTCTGAGCCCCCCCCCCTCCACAACTCAAAAGAAATTTCCTCATCGATACTCTATAATAAAATTACCGCCTAATTAATGTGTCTAATCTAAAAAGTGGTTTTCTTGCAATGGGACGGTAGACATGTTTTTTTTGGGGGGGGGGGGGGGGTGTGGAGGGGTGGGGGGGGGGGGGTGTGGGGGTGTGGGGGTGGGGGGGGGGTGGTGTGTGGGGGGGTGGGTTGGTTTCAGTGTTTCTTTCAGACTTTTTCCTCCCCGGAGAGGGGTGGGGGTACTTGAAATTTTCGGGGGCGGGGGTAGAATTTTCTGGGAGGGGGCGGACACTGGAAAAAGTATATAATTATATTTCGTTGAATGGGACGGTAGACATGTTTTTTTTGGAGGTGGGGGGTGGTGGAGGGGTGGGGGGGTGGTGTGTGGGGGGTGGGGGGTGGTGTGTGGGGGGGTGGGGGGTGGTGTGTGGGGGGGTGTGGGGTGGTGTGTGGGGGGGGTGGGTTGGTTTCAGTGTTTCTTTCAGACTTTTTCCTCCCCGGAGAGGGGTGGGGGTACTTGAAATTTTCGGGGGCGGGGGTAGAATTTTCTGGGAGGGGGCGGACACTGGAAAAAGTATATAATTATATTTCGTTGAATGGGACGGTAGACATGTTTTTTTTTGGGGGGGGTGGGGGGTGGGGGGGCGGTGTGTGGAGGGGGTGGTGTGTGGGGGTGAGGGGTGGGGGTGGGGGTGGTGGGGGGTGGGGGTGGTGTGTGGGGGTGGGGGGGTGGGGTGGGGGTGGGTTGGTTTTAGTTTAGAGAAAAGAGACAGCACTATCAGCCTAGCGCCCGTTGTACCCTTCCTCAACGGGCATTTTTCTCGTATATATATATTAATACTAATAGTTTCGCTGTCTGTCTGTCTATCTGACAAGAACGCTCTGTCTGACAAGAACGCTCTAGAGAAAACACAAGCAATTTAAAAACATGCATAGTATTTCGAAAAACGAAGTATGACGTCGACACATTTAGCGCAGAGTAGAACATAATCTCAAACCAGAGAGTGCACACAGTCATATGACGTCATTGATTATCGCGTAAACATTGAATTAAAAAGGAAATGTTGTCTAATCTAAATGGTTTGCGTGAAGAGTTTCTTGCATACAATTCTTCGGGTAGGGGCGAAACCCCACCCCCCGCGTAAGAACGTCTGAGCCCCCCCCCCCTCCCCAACTCAAAAGAAATTTCCTCATCGATACTCTATAATAAAATTACCGCCTAATTAATGTGTCTAATCTAAAAAGTGGTTTTCTTGCAATGGGACGGTAGACATGTTTTTTTTGGGGGGTGGGGGGGGGTGTGGGGGGTGTGTGTGGGGGGGGTGGTGTGGGGGGGGGGGGTGGTGTGTGGGGGTGGGGGGGTGGGGGTGGTGTGTGGGGGGGGTGGGTTGGTTTCAGTGTTTCTTTCAGACTTTTTCCTCCCCGGAGAGGGGTGGGGGGTACTTGAAATTTTCGGGGGCGGGGGTAGAATTTTCTGGGAGGGGGCGGACACTGGAAAAAGTATATAATTATATTTCGTTGAATGGGACGGTAGACATGTTTTTTTTGGGGGTGGGGGGTGGTGGAGGGGTGGGGTGGGGGGTGGTGTGTGTGTGGGGGGGGGTGGTGTGGGGGGGTGGGGGGTGGTGTGTGGGGGGTGGGTTGGTTTCAGTGTTTCTTTCAGACTTTTTCCTCCCCGGAGAGGGGTGGGGGTACTTGAAATTTTCGGGGGCGGGGGTAGAATTTTCTGGGAGGGGGCGGACACTGGAAAAAGTATATAATTATATTTCGTTGAATGGGACGGTAGACATGTTTTTTTTTTGGGGGGGGGGGGGGGTGGGGGTGGGGGGCGGTGTGTGGTGGGGGGTGGGGGTGGTGTGTGGGGGTGAGGGGTTGGGGTGGGGTTGGTGTGTGGTGGGGGGTGGGGGTGGTTTGTGGGGGTGGGGGTGGGGTGGTGGGGTGGGGGTGGTGTGTGGGGGGGTGGGTTGGTTTTAGTTTAGAGAAAAGAGACAGCACTATCAGCCTAGCGCCCGTTGTACCCTTCCTCAACGGGCCATTTATCTAGTATATATATATATATATAAATATTTGCCTGCGTCTTAAAAATAACCAGTGACAAAACGGCACAGCTAAAAATGCTACGTTAAACGGACCCTGTCATTTAGGTCAGTAACAAATTCAGCTCCCACTAAAATAGGCTCAAGACTAAAAGGCTCCTGTCAATAAGGCTCCCGACACAACGGCTTCTTTCATTACGACTCATTAAAAGAGGTCCCAGTTAACACAGCTTCCCTTAAATAGGGTCACTGCAAAATCGTCCCATTCAATACGACCCATGCTGTAGGACCTCTTTTGATCTAACGTAAGAACATGCGACGTCGAGTGGTGGGCAGGTCACATGGTGTGCGTCACGTGGTACTTCAGAATCAGCCTAATTAACACAACTACGTAATGCAACATGTGTAGTTCTTTGTCGGTCTGCCTAATGTTTACAATATGTTATCATGTGTAAGAAATAGCTTTATTTAAAGACCTTCTACTTCCGACTTTTATACAAACAATCAGACGACAGAATAACAATACGTCGGTTATACTGCGTTTATAGTGCACAGCAGTGGTATAGGCAGGGGGGGGGGGTTCCCTCCCCCCCTTCCCCATGTAACCCTCTGAAAAAATATGTTACTGTCTTAATACCAATAATACCACTGTTACTTATTTAAATCTATTTCTGAATCAGTATATGTGTATAATTGTATATGTATGTTAAGAAGAGTCATATAAAAACTGACGCTATGTTCACTCTGAGGTGGTTATTTCCCCCCCCCCCCCCCCCCCCACCTCACCACCACAGTTGTGTAGAGCGACATTAATGCCACACCTAAGTATACGCTAGGTAGGATAATTCATCTAAAATAGCTGGACAGTGGTAAATGAAGTTTAACCCCCCCCCCTCAACCCACCCCGAACTGATCTGTTAAGTACATTTGGGAAAACGCGTAATGAGGTAGCAAAGTACCTCGCCGCCAGAATCATAACTTTTGAAGCTCTGTAAATATTGTTTTTACAAGTAAAGATGTGTGTGATCAATACCATATCATTATGTTAAAAATGTTCTTTCAAGAACACAAAAATAGTAGTTATATTTTAAAAATGAGTGATCGGAACAGCAAGACCAGTAATTTATCTATATGCAAGCTATTAGTTGGATTGTTATACCTATTAGATTTAAATTTTCTTCATGATAGAAAAGTTTGATTTTATACCAACTCTGACTTCAAAATTTTCATTATGCTGTAATATTTTACCGTTTATGATAATAATATATTGAATTCTGATTGTAGGCAACACATTTTTGTAAAAACGAATAGTGTTAAGCTACCGTATTACATACTAAAGTAATTATTGATCTGTTTTGACATTTTCAATTAAATTTGTAGAAATATACATAGTTATATTAAGAGGGTGATTATTTCCCATAGTTCGCTTGTCTTAATTAATATTCTAGGAATCATTATTTCAAATTGTTGTGTTTTTTTTACAAAGATCACAAAACAGATTATGTTGCGTTAATTATTTTTGGTTGTATTGTGTGAATATTTTGTTGTTGTTGAGAGTGATAAATTGTTTTCTTTTATATATATATATATATATATATATATATATATATATATATATATATATATATATATATATATATATATATATATATATAAAAAATGATGGAAAAAATGTGAATACCCCATGAGACGAACCTGGCTACGCCACTGGTTCACAGACACAGCTGGTGGTACACGGGTGACACCATCAAAGTGGTGACATGAAAACGAGATTTGGCTAATTTAATAAGAGCTTGTTCTAAGAAGTTGGGCCGTGAAGTGATTTTGATTTAACACTTGAACAAACCATTCTAAAAAGGAAACGTATCGAATGTGTCGAATGTTTTCTCGGCAAGCAGAAAGATAATCTGGTCTTGCGGTGTGTGTGTTTTTTTGACACGCCACGAAGGGTAAGTTAGTGTGATCTTAAAAAAAAAGTCGTGTGACGGTGGGATCAGCCAAGCGGAACGGTGTGTCCGGAATTTTTAAAAGACACTGTTGGGTAAGGTAGCACGGTTTATATATTGGGGTGTCAAAGTAAGGTATAGAGTAATTGCTAAATATTCAATTCAGTTCTACCTTTAAAATATCAAGTCGTTTTAAAAATGATATAAACTTTGAATTAATCATTTATCATTAACGTAAATTTTGGGTTCTAGTTTATAAGACTTTTTTAAACTTGAAGATTTATAGGTAATACAAGCTTTTGGTTAAAAGATCATATGCCTAATGCTAAACACTTGTGGTTAGCTATCCTTTAATTAATTCAAACTTTTCTGTAAAGAGAAAAAGAAAGTTTCAAATAGATTAGGACGGTTGTAAAGTTTGACTGTGCGTAAACGCAAGTAAAGTTTCATTGAAACATAATACCAAAATAAACAAGTGTATGGCACACAGAAATGTCATTTTCTATGTTCCTGATTTATAATCAACAACTTTGTTTAATATTTGAATTATCGTTTTAAAAATAATCAGTTAACCAATGAAGAGAAATTATTAAGTGTTTGTTGTTTTATTCTCAGCACTTTTTATTCTCTCGTATACGATGTATAGAGGAAGTATTTTAATTGTTCAAAAATATCGAAACCCAGATTTTCACAAATCTTGACGTTTTACACATCCCTGAGTCGGAAAAACATAATTTTGACATTTAGTTCGTATGTGTGTGTGTGTGTGTGTATGTGAGTGTCTGTGAACATGAGAACTTGAGTGCCGTTACAGCTAGGTTGATGAATTTTATTTATAAGTATTATATCAAGTTTGTCGTTCTATAAAATTTTCAGCGATTTCCAATAAACAGAACTATATCTTATTTTCAAAAGCTTTTAACTTGAGTACTGTTTCTGATAGATAAATGAAACAACGCATTTTAGTAAAAGATATTATTCTCTGCCTTCTGTTAAATTTTGAGTAATTTCCGTTGAACGAAAGTAGTAATTTACGCTGTTTCCGATTTCTCAAAAACAAATAAGAATTTATTAAGTACTAATATTCCTCATTTTTTTTTTACATATATTGCTTGCCGTTAACTTAGTGCGCAATTCTTATTTTCTAAGAGATTCTATTTTTAAAAGTTTAAGTGATTAAAAATGGATAAAAAATCATGTCTATTTCCCGAGTAGCCATCCTTCTTAGTGTTATGTAAGAATATTCGATAAAATTTAAGGGAGATCACTCCGGTTTATTTTTATCTTTACTTGACTTTAAAAGATAAATAAAAAAGTTATTTCATCGTCATATAATATAGATCACTTTTTTGACAAAATTAAAAACTTCACATTTTAAGTGATTACATTTGTGCCGAATCTCTCACGACACATTTGAAGTTGCCAACAAGAATGATGTCATCTGGGGCCCTAGAAATATGAAATACATGCAATTTTTCATGTCTTTTTGTTTTTCATAGTCTTTAGATCACTGGTGTGTCTCGGGGTTCTCACAAGCCAAACTTAACAATATCAGCAACAGGGCTAAGTGTCATTGACTTTCTTTATATATTTCAGATCACTTGTGTGCCTCGCGGTGCTGCAATGCTCATGCGCATACAGAACCTACAGAAGTAAAATTCCCAATGGAGACGCCGTCCCGTACCCTTGTAAGCCAAATAACGTGTGGGAGGGAGTGGGTCACATTCTGGACGAAGGGACCGGGGTTCGAAACTGGTTCGGGTTGGATTTTCAGGCCGCTGGACATGTAAGTTGTTTTTTTTTAAATTAACTTTTAAAATTTTGGAATTTACATTTTCCCCTATCAAAACACTTGTGTTTTTTTCCCAAGGCGTGGACTGCTGAGCTATGCAGAAAAGATTCAGACGGTGATGGGATGACCAATGGTCAAGAGTTGGGCGATCCTGACTGTACATGGAAAGAGAACTCTATTCCTAAAAGAACAACTGGATTATCTCACCCTGGTATGTCAGTTACCAGACTCTAAAACGTTGAAGTATTTACTTTTAAATGAATTTATTTGATATTGTTCTTGTTATTTAAAATTACCACCAAGTTATACCTCATGTAAAACGACTTTAAGAAATCCTCTCCAAAAAACGTCTCCCTCAGGCATCTGTGACCCGTGGGACTCCCCGTCCTGCCTGGCTAAGCCCGTCACCCACCCGGTGTACAAGACCCAGGGGGACTGGATGAGAGAGGAGTGTAAGGCCCAGGAGTTTGTTTGTGCTGCCAAAGATGAACCAGGTCTGGTTGTGGTGTTGTTGTTGCTGTTTTTAGTTTAAGTAAAAAAACTGCAGGTCAGTTTGGTTGGTGAGTAATTCAGAAACAGTGCTCGGTGTAATTTTGGAACAGGGTGGTCTAGTGGTAGGACGCTAGATCTCTTATTCTGATTTCTAGTGTTTGTGTCCCACCCGGAATTACCATTTCTGCATTATCGTTACCCTGCTACAAAACTAATTCATCTGCCTAATTCAAAATGCGTGGCACGGCGTGGCCTAGCGGTAGAGCGCTAGACTGCTTACCCGAAAGTATCGAGTTCTATGCCGGGTTCAAGTAAATAGAACGTCCCTGAGTTCACCCATTTTTGATTGGTACCTAGCTCCCTTTAGGGAAAGTAACGGCGGCTGAGCATAGTGCTGATCACATTATCTCTTGATATGCTGAGGTCTTGAAACATGAAATCTACTTCATTTCCCCAATGGATCGCTAGGTCTAAAGAGTAATCTTTTCTTTTTTAAAATCCAAAAACGTCGTTCCTTATCTAGAACATTTCTATGTCAACATTTGTTATAAAATTAGATTGATGTTTACTGGATAAGGTCCAATCCCTAGGAAAAAGTATTTTTAAAAATATGTTTTAATTATCGGCACAAAGTGTTTATGGTAGGTGGGCTTAAAGTCTAAATTGCGGGTTGCGATCCCTTGGGGGTTGCGAAGGGCTTTCTGGGGTTTGCCAACTGGGAGACTAAATCAAGCAAAAAATTTCTACACATGGAATAGAGAAGCCACAATGCGTACTGTGCAAAGTTATTCTCAGTCATGAGTCTATGAAAAATTTAAAACTAAAGAGTCATTTTGTGAAGAGGCGTTCGGGACACACACAAAAAAGATGGAGATTTTTGATCGAAAAAGAAGTTCGCTGGCTGCGAAAAGGAAATTTTTGAATTGAAAGATGAAATCAAATTGTAGAAGTGCAAGACCTTTTGACATATTCTAACGACAAAGAGTGGTTAGAGAGAGTATCGCTCCTAGCATATATATTTGAACATCAAGATACGCTTAACCTGCAGTTTCAGGGAAAAGTAACGAATAGTATCTCATTGCATGATGATCTCGGGGCGTTTTTATCAAAGCTGCAAATTTGGCGAAGAAAAATAAATATTGGAAATATTGTCATTTGAGAAACTTTGCAGTGTGATAGATGAACCTCTGATTGTGAGTTTAAAAAATTGAAAGAGAAAATTTCAGGGCATCTTGAATCTCTTGATAACGAACTGTGTTTTTATTTCCATGAGCTGAAAAAAAAAGAAAAAATGGCATTTACACGTAATCAATTATCTGCTTCCCTTGATGTTGCAAGCATTCCCAAGAAATTACAAGATGAATTCTTTGATTTGCAAAATTGTTCCGCGGCACATACAGTGTTTATTAGAAAACATGCTCACCAAATTTTGGTGTAGTATGCACCATTCATACCTAAATGTGTTAATGTTTGTCTTTCGAGTTTTAGTTCCTTTTATGTGTGCTTATCTTTGCGAGAGTGGATTTCAATACTTCTCCAATTAAAAGGCTAATAAAGTGTAACAATGCCTCAATAGGGATGTGGTGTGATCACCAACTGAGGTGTAGTATTTAAAAGGGCTGACCCTAAGAGATAACACACAAACGATCAATGACGCTTTTGTTGATAGATCCTGGCTTTATTGCAAAGCCATACACGGCATATATTCCTTCATTAGGTCTACATAACCAAGTTAACCTAAGAAACTGCACGGTCCGTGTCATTAGCAGCCTGGGATTTGAATGCTGTGGACACAGGTACAACTACCCAGAGTCACAGAGGTCACATGACATAGGAACACGGGGAACATCGCTCACAGAAGAGCATAAAAATACATCAACAGTTGTGTTCCAATAGGGGCTGCAAAAAAAAATTATAAATTATCCAAATTTCACCCATCGCATTAAAACAGTTATCAAAAACAATTAAAACTAAAATTATACTAGAAAATCTTATTTCGGTGTTTATTACTTTTCTTACTAATTTCGCCTTTTTTATTCTATCGGGGTCGCGGGTCACTTAAATTTATAAAAGGGGGGTCGCCACTCGAAAGGGTTTGGGAACCCATGGGTTAGACTTTTGTGAAGACGTATAGCGAAGGGGAGGAGGAGGCTCGACAGATATGGCGTAGAACGTTTACATATAATTGTTTTCCAGATCAAAACTAATGAGACATTTGTTAACTTACCGGATTTAAATAAATTGTTAATGAAGAGAGGGGGACCAAGTTGTGGACAAAACTCTGTTATTGTGGCAACCAGTATCGATGGAGTAAAGGATATGTTGTAAAACAAAGATTAGGAACTCTCATATCTTTTTCGAGGGCAAATCTGCATTCTTTTAGTATCTCCCTTGTGAGATATTTATTTTTATATCCTCTGTGAGCAAGCTATTATAGTCTCCTCTGTGAACAATATATTATTACATACCCTGTGAGCAATGTTTTATTAATTCCAATGATAGCAATGTTATCTCCCTGTAATGGAAATGTTAGGGCTCAAAAGCTTCATTAATATAAATAATGTGTACAAATAATCTTCATGCTGATGTTGATGTATATCCACAAATAAACATCCACGTTTTCCACGGTTTGTATCACGTGACCGTGTCGTATCAACCAGGTGTAAGGAACTTCACCATTCACCTGCCCAGCGGTTCTCACGTCCCACAGAAAGAGACCACCTACATGTGCCAGATCTACGACCTGGAGAGTTTGATCACACCTGGGGATTATCACATGATCGCCGTAGAGCCTGTGATTGACAACGTTTATGTGCTACACCACATGGTGTTGTTTGGGTGTACAGGTAATTACACAAAGCAAAAGGCAGAAATGTACAGGTATTTACAAATAAAAGTGTGCAGGTAATCACAGGTAGAAATGTAGAGGTAAACACAGGTAGAAATGTACATGTAATGACAAGTAGAAATGGACAGCTAATAACCGGTAGAAAATTAGAGGTAATAACGGGAAATTACATGTAAAATACAGGTAATTACTTGTAGAAATGAGAAGGTAAGTACAGGTAGAAAGGTACAAGTAATCACAGGTAGAAATAGGGGTAGGCATGGTTGAGTTGGTAAAGCTCATGGTTGTTAAACCGAAAAATTCGAGTTTGAACCCTCGGGCACGTGCGGCTCCTTAGCTCGGGACAGCAACTCTTCTAGGAGAGACAACTCCAAAATAAATTTAAAAAAACGACTGCCTTTGTAGTTTTTTCTCGGTTGGACAAAGGCTATGGAAGCAAATCCAAAAAGAAAAGCAGGCTGAAATCGGAGTTAACGGCGCATAACCAGTTGACACATACTTAATTGTGTTAGAGGCGTGGTGGAGTCAGCAAAATCACTTGGTTGTTAAATTTGCAAAAAGTCTCGAGTTCAAACCCTCTGGCAGGTAAGGCGCGATCCGTTCCAACACTAAAAAATTAAGAACGAAGAAGAAACTCAGGTAGAAATGTGCAGGAAAACACAAGTAAAAATGTACAGGTAGTTACAGTAGGTAGAAACGTACAGTTAGCAATATAAATGTGCAAGCAGCTACAGGTAAAATGCAGAGGCAGTTGCAGAAAGAAATGAACTAGCGAAATATAAGTTTAAATGTACATATATCTAGAGGTAGGAAAATAAATGTAATAAGTATAAAATTTAAAGTTAATCAATGGTTTAAAAAAAAATTTGAAGTTAACTGCAACTGTAGTTAAAAATATAGTGGTTATTACATTTCGTAAAGTAAATATAATTACTGGTACATGTATAAAGTTAATTGCAGGTATTAATACAACGTAAAACTAAGAAAAATTTTAATACTGTATAATTTAGTGTAGAAACGTAAAAAATAATCGAATGCGGGAATAAAAAGATAATTACCTGCATCTATTTTATGACTTCATCAGATGAAGAAGAAGCGACCAACTCGTCCTTCGAGTGCGGCATGGTGGCCTCCAGTAACTGCCAGGATTTCCTCAGTGTTTGGACCGTGGGTCTGTCCGGGGACTGCAGCCACCCCAGTGCAGGGGTCAGGATAGGGGTCAACGGGTACAAGAGGATCGCCTTACAGGTGGGGTTTTCGTAGCGAAGATTGTACATACTTTCATTTTAAACACGTATTTTAATTTTCATCACTTTAAAAAAAGTTGTATTTACAGTTCTGATTATTTAATTTTAAAAAAGCACTCTTATTTCCTTTTGAAGATGGCGTCTGTACATAGTAGGGCGTAAATAATATATATCACAAGTTCGTCCTTTGCACACATTATTTAGTTATATAGCGTTGTATAGGGTAGTAGTTCACAGCAGTTGTAATCACAATATAAGTATTCTCAATACTTCAAAATAACAATTAGTAGTTACTTCTAACCCTTAAATGCATGACTTTTTAATAATGGTTGAAAAAAATATTTTTATATTGTTTTGGTGGGTATATGAAGAGTATAGTCAAGTAAAAAAATATTTTTAGTTTAAACATGTTCTTTAATTAAAATCCGAAATGTTGCATGTCTGCAACATTATGTAGTAAGGTGATACTTTTTAAGACAGTTCTTGATCTTGTTACAACAAAGATATATGTTGCACTTGTGGCAAACTGTTTGAGCTTGATGTGAATTTGCACCTGTCATTGCACTATTCCACGAGACTTAGTGTCCACACAGGTCCAGGAGATCCAGGGTCCATTCTGGTCCTAGAGATCCAGGGTCCACACTTATCCAGGGTCCACACTGGTCCATGAGATCCAGGGTCCACACTGGTCCAGGAGATCTATGGTCAACACTGGTCCAGGAGATCCAGGGTCAACACTGGTCTTGTAGATCCAGGGTCCACACTGGTCCAGGATGTCTAGGGTCCACACTGGTCCAGAATATCTAGGGTCCACACTGGTCCAGGATGTCTAGGGTCCACACTGGTCCAGGATGTCTAGGGTCCACACTGGTCCAGGATATCTAGGGTCCACACTGGTCCTGGAGATCCAGGGTCCACACTGGTCCAGGATATCTAGGGTCCACACTGGTCCAGGATATCTAGGGTCCACACTGGTCCATGATATCTAGGGTCCACACTGGTCCAGGATATCTAGGGTCCACACTGGTCCAGGATATCTAGGGTTCACACTGGTCCAGAATATCTAGGGTCCACACTGGTCCAGGATGTCTAGGGTCCACACTGGTCCAGGATATCTAGGGTCCACACTGGTCCAGGATATCTAGGGTCCACACTGGTCCAGAATATCTAGGGTCCACACTGGTCCAGGATATCTAGGGTCCACACTGGTCCAGGATATCTAGGGTTCACACTGGTCCAGAATATCTAGGGTCCACACTGGTCCAGGATATCTAGGGTCCACACTGGTCCAGGATATCTAGGGTTCACACTGGTCCAGAATATCTAGGGTCCACACTGGTCCAGGATATCTAGGGTCCACACTGGTCCAGGATATCTAGGGTCCACACTGGTCCAGGATATCTAGGGTTCACACTAGTCCAGGATATCTAGGGTCCACACTGGTCCAGGATGTCTAGGGTCCACACTGATCCAGGGTCCACACTGGTCCAGGAGATCCAGGGTCCACACTGGTCCAGGATATCTAGGGTCCAAACTGGTCTAGGAGATCTAGGGTCCACACTGGTCTTGTAGATTCAGGGTCCAAACTGGTCCAGGATATTTTGGGTCCACACTGGTTCAGGAGATCCAAGAAGATACTCTGGATCTCCATGAGCATCTACTTCATATTATTCTTCACCTTGATTCACATTGATTTCTTAATGATTATACTGAAACTAGAAGAAAAACAAGGTACTATATAATCACCAATGCTGATGTATAAAGTAAAAACAAAATAGTGCAAAAGTAGGTCAAATTGCATAACGTTGCAGCACTGCAACCAAAGTTTTGTGAAGATTTTAAAATAAATTATGAATTGATTTTCAAAACAACACATACAATATGTAATACATACCTTAGGTTGTCAGAAACATATTTTTTGAAATTCCAAAACCAGTTTATTTGACTTTGATGAACTTTGAAACGCCAACCAAAAATGCTGATATAAAAAACCTTGTGATCACGCACAAATTTGAGATCGGCTTGGCGGTAAAACAAATCTAGGTCACTTAGACATGCGCAAGCTGTAGGTTAACATTGTAGCAGTCAAACAACGTGATGCACAGAATAAAACATGTTTAGGCTAATATTTTATGGGAAGGTAACTGGTATGTTGCAGATTTGTGCCGGTATGCATTTAAGGGCTAATATATATTTTAAAAATGTTACTCAGTATTATCAAATTGTTTAGTGGGGGAGTCTCAGAAACGTTATTTAATACTTAAAGTTATGGTCTGTGAAAATGTTATGTTACAGACAAAGGATTGAGGTGCTGGTAAAAATGTCACAATTTTGTGGCTATACCATTTTTTGTATGCCCGTTTTATACGTAATAAGTTATGTAAGTAACAAAGTGCAGTAGGCCCAGTGGTCTGTTTAACCAACGTTCACATATTCCAGAGACTGTCCAGCAAAGCTTTGTCTTTCTTTTTGTCGACTTAAACGATGGTCAACTTGCCAATAGTGTATCACTTTAGATCAGTTTAACTTTTCAGGTTTGACCTGACCTTGACATTGATTAAAAGAGTTTAAAAATTGTTTGCCACTTCTGGCAGGTCCACTGGAACAACCCGGACAAAAATTCTAATTGGACGGACAATTCGGGGCTGAGGTTATACTACACACCCAACAGGTGAGGGGTTCTGTCGAGATTAGTGATTTACCCGTGTGAGGGGTTCTGTCAAGGTTAGACAAGTATCGAGGTTAGAGGTTCTTTTTTTAGGGTTTTTTTTTAATTTTTCTAAACAGAAAGTAAATTAACATATTTATTTAGTTAGTTGTCACATTTGTAAAAACAAGATATATCTAAAAAAATGTTTTGCAGATCTAAGCATGAAGTTTTTTTAAAGTTATTAATTGCCCAGAAATACATTCGAATCTTACAAAAGTGATACAAAAACACGCATGATCACTAATTTTTAAATAAAACTAGACTACCCGTCATCCCTTGGATAACTGTAGGTTTTGGGGTCATCCATAAAAAAACATCACGTCTGTCACTTATCGTCTCAAAAAACCAGACCCCACATTCAAAAAGATGCTTTTTTATCTTTTAAAAACACCTATTTCGGACTATCCCTTCAAATAATGACGTCTCAGGTGACCTACTCAACTCTACTTCACCTGCCCAGTGTACGGCCAAGTCTCAGACAACATGTTTTTATCGTTTAAAAAAAACGATTCCGGCCAAGCATGTATCTGACCACACTATCCCTTTATATGCTTAGGACAAATAAACAGATGAACTCTACTTCACCTGCCCTGTATCCCGCCAAGTTCAGATAGGCAACTTTATCATTCACATCTAAAAAAATTAAAAATAAAAATTTAACATGGACGTGATGTGTCTAGAACCCGTGCCACCCGCATCATAGCCTATTACACTAACAACTTAGCTATTTAGACTCGTGACGTAATTGATGTTTTTTTATGGTATACTTTAATACTTTGAGTCTCCTTATGCAACTTGATTTACGCGCATAGATCTAGATCTAAGTCTAGTAGTAGTAACTTTCAAATCAAATTTTATCTTAAATTAGCCAATTACATAGCTAAACAAACAAAGATTTATATAATGAAGGTCTGAAATTATCTAGATCTAGATAGAATTATCTAGATTCTACGACTCGTTTGCTTGTCTTAAGTCTAGTTTGTGCGTAACTCTTGCTAGATCTAGATTAGATCATTAGACCTATTCTAGATAGATTTAGATCTAGATAAATAAATCACAAAGATTTATATCAAGTATTTAAGGACTAAAAAATGTATTATGATTTTAAAATGGATTGTATTTTTACCTAATTAATCTTTGGTTTGTATCTAATTAATCTTTGGTTTGACCTAGATTCTAGATCTAGATCTGTAAATAACTTTCTTGGCCACCTTATATTTAGATCTATAAATAAATAGATAACTTTCTTGTACATATTGTAGAGCTAGAGAAATTTATTGTAAAACTAAATGAAAAAGACAGTTGAAAATTTATATAAGTGTTGGAACGTAATAAAAACAGCAACCGGACGTATTGTTAAAGTTATAGCCGACAGAAAATTAGCTTTAGAACGCGTTAAACTTTTGAATGGGCCACAAAGTCTATTTTATTGTACTAAAAAGTAAACAAATCATTTGACGTCACTATTCAGTCAGTTAAGCCATTCTTTGAAAATTTTGAAATTAATGTGGTTAATCTACCTATGAATAAATCAATAAATTAATTAACGTCTTTAAATAAATGTGTGATTAACAGTCTGTTCGAAAAGAAAAAAATGTTCTCTACCTACATACTATTTTACACATAGAGCAGATTTTCTCCATTAGTCAATCAGACAAACAAAAAAACAAATAAATATTCAAACATGTAAACAAGCTTGAGTTTTAGTAGTATAGAGCTTGTACAGGATACTTTTTTACATATTTAAATTTCCCTTCGAGAGTCCAAACAGCCTGTAGCCATTTTCTCGAGTTAGGTGTGTCAGGTATGACTTATGCTGCCGCGTCATAAATTTGACTCTTCCTTCCCCCCCCCCTTCCCGTGTTTCAGGAGAACCTATGACGCAGGCATCCTGCTGACCGGCTCCAACAGCTTTGAGCTGCCCCCAAGACAGGCGTCTGTGAGCGTGAAAAGCACGTGCACGAAGGGCTGCACCAGCCAATCGTTCCAGGGACCGATTTACGTGACCACGGCCTGGAACCACATGCACTACGCCGGTTCGTTTCACTTTTCTTCTTCCTTAATTATCGACATGTTACGCCCCATTTAGACTGTTGATTCCAATTTTTCCCCAGATTTGCTTTTATAGGCTATGTCCACCGAGAGCAAACTACTAGGCAGCAGTTATTTTGGTTTACGCTCATATCAAACTCTTGGCTTTTCGGTTTAGCAGTTACGCTTCCCACTCGCCCTCCCCACACTTTTCACATCCAGTAATATACCCAAAAGAAAAACTTGACAGGGAATTAATTGAATGCTGATTTATTTCCGGAATTTAATAATAATTTCGGAAACGGTATTACATTATTGAAACTCATTTTTCAATAAAACTAGTAGCTCAACTTTACATGACATTTTGAGAATTGTACGGTACGTTATATTTGACAGCATTCCTTGTTTTACAGCGCACTTTACAACGTATTTTACGTGTTTACTGGGGAAACTAGCGCAGGAAAAAAATCAAGTAAAACATCCCAAAAGTATCACAAACAAAACTATGAAAAAAAAATCTAATATTTAAAGTTTAATTCTGTATCGCGGCTTGACTGAATGACGGGCGGACGGACGGACCCGTGATTACAAAGGAATATAGTAAAAAAAATACAGATGATCGCTTTTGTGTAATATATCTAAAGTGCTCATTCTCTAAATTAATGAATAAACAATTAATATTGAAGTTGTTATAAAACAAATTTCTTTTCCAGACTTATAGTGTTAAAGATGAAACTCACATTAAATAAAATTAAAGCAAAATATATCACCTTTTACAAAAATTTTAATTTTGTCTGAAAAGGATTTTTATTTAGTCCTTTAAAACTAATTACATCCCTTGATAAATTAGGAAAACACAATTATTTCTCTTTTTTTTTAAATCTTACATCGGGGAAAAATGTGTTTTATTACTGTGTTTTAGGTGTTGGGAAAAAATGATTACATAATTATCGTGTATTGATAATTTGCAATGTCGTAAGTAAAATACAGATATTTTAAAGACTGCCTTTTATTTATTTTATACCCTGGACGTACTAAATATTATTTTGAATCAATAACAGTTTAGAAGCCGCCCCTAAATGTCTTCTATGTTTACTTCTATCTTTCTGTTTGCGGTTAAGCTTGGGGTATTATAGTCTTTCAGTAAATTGAATCAGGCGTGTCCGCCGGCCCACCGACAGAGTTCGATTTGGCGCCCTGGGCTATCCTGTGAGCGCTATTGTGCATACTTTTGTTTTAAACAGTGCGATAGACTATGCATAAGAAAAATTACTATAGTTTTTAGCTTAATCGAATTCGGGTGTTCTCCAGCGCCCTGACAGGGTGATATTTGGCGCCTCGGGCCTTCCCGTGCTCGCTGTGGCGCCTACGTTCGTTTAATTGAGTGCAAAAGACAATGTATTCGTTGGGGTACTATAGTCGTTTACTACGTTGAATCAGGCGGATCCACCGGCGCCGCAGCATGGTGCGATTTGGCGCCACAGGCTATACATACTGTGAGCACTTTGCGTTTATGTTTGTATTTAAATTTGTATTTATGTTTGCGTTTATTTGCAGTATTTTGAGTTGTTTGCGTTTAGCTTTGCATATGTGTTTCTATTTGTATTTGCGTTTGTGTTTGCTTTTGTGTGTGCGTTTGTGTTTTCTTTGTGTTTGCGTTTGAGGGTTAGTTTGTGCATTTCTGTTATGTTTTTGGCTTTATCATTCACGTCTAAACAAAAATTTAAAAAGAAATTAACATCGTCATGATGTATCTCGAACCCGTACCACCCACATGGTAACTATTACACTACCATCTCAGCTATCTAGACACTTCCGATTAGGTGCAGAGTTAGTGGGGTACTTTACTTAGATCTAGAGTCAGCGTAAGAAACTTGAGTTACGCAAATAGGCCATATTAATTTAATTCAATTGTATCCCAAATTAGTCACTTCCATAGCTAAATCAGCAAAGATTTATATAACATAATTAAAGCCTGAAATAGTTTAGTATAGAAACTCATTATTGGCATTGATTCTAAATCTAGATAGAGCAAGATCTATATCTATATGTAGAGTCAGTGGCGTAGGCAGGGGGGGGGTAGGGGGGGTCATAACCCCCCCCCATAGACCCCTCGGTATATATATAAAAAGTATGAAGGGGGGGCAAATCGAAAGTTTGAGAGGGGGGGGGGTGCAAATCGAAAGTTTGAGGGGGGGTGCAAATCGAAAGTTTGAGGGGGGGTGCAAATCGAAAGTTTGAGGGGGGGGGGGGTGCAAATCGAAAGTTTGTCCCCGGGTGAAAATTGGAACCCCCCCCCCCCCTTGAGACGATCCTGGCTACGCCACTGTGTAGAGTCTACGGCTGGCTCAAGTCTAGTCTTTCCTAGCTTTATATCTAGAACCTAGATAGATAAATCCCTTGTATTCTCGAATAAGATGATACTTAAAGCTAAAAAGCAAAGATTTATATCCAATATTTAAGGACTACCACATTTTAATAAACAAACTCAATAATTTATTGTGTTTTTATAGTTGTTTTTATTTTTAACATTAATTTTGGTTTTACCTATATTCTAGATTTTAGATCTAGGATTGACTTTCCCTTCCACTGACAGCTTATCTGTATACGTAAATTAGAAGAACTGTTGGAACCAAATAAAAGTAGCAAACGGACGTATCGTTAAAGCTATAGCGGACAGAAAATTTAGATTTATAAAAAACATTGAATGGGCAACATGAAAGCCGCCATGGTTGTTTGTAAAAAAAATAAATAAATCATGTGACGTCACTATAAATAAAGTCAATGTTCTGAACTTTTATAATTAAAGTGATTTTTCCACCAATGAATATATCAATAAATTAATTAACGTCTTTAAGTAAATTTGTGATTAACAGTTTGCTAAAAAAGAATATTATTCTCTACATAAAATACGTATTTTACAGCTCTACACATAGTGCTGATTTTCTCCTGTAACAAAACAGACAAACAAAAATACAAAACAAAAACAACAAAAAATTAATATACAAACTTGTAAACAAACTTGAGTTTTAGTAGTATATAGATAGTGTTATTTTTTACTCTTTTTTATTTTAAAACAGGAGTCCAGATGAATATACAAGTGTTTAGGAATAATACAGCCTTGACTTTTCTAACCAATGACCCGGTGTACAGTTACGATAGTCCCCAAGTCTACTCGTAGTAAGTACCTGATTTATGTTTTATGTGAACACTAAAGACGTGAAATTTCGGAATCAACACACTTGTGTTATGAGCTAGAAGAGATGGAGTTTTAGGTTAGTCGTATCCAAATACTTTTACATTCAGACTTGCCTTTTGGAATAATTTTCATTAAGGAAGTTAAGGCTAGGGTAGATTTAAGGTCCATGGCTTAGTGATGCTTCATCACTTTTTTCTCTGGCTGCATCCAGTTACAAGTTTTGGAGGGGTGTATGGTGGGGGAGGCTAGTGAGATACACCCTTTATTTACGGAATTATGTTCTGAATGAGATTTTTACTTAAACAATGTGTTACTATATTGCTTTTGGCACATTCAAAGCATATGTCGAAGGAAATTTCGTTTCATAAATTTTTAATGGCCCAAACAGATATTGGTACTTATAAGTACCGTCAGTAATCTAGGACATTTTTTTTTTCAAATTTTTTTTTTTTTTACAAAACAGGAACAAACGATACAATTTATTAACTAATATCATGGCAATCATCAAAACAATCAGCTTTTGTAATTTTCACACATAAATACAGCACAACAGTATATTTTGAGTACGATTTTTACTGGATTTTCTATGGGAACACATCTTAGACCTCATACACAGCAAAAGTTGCCGACATATCATGCTCCCTCATTCTTATCTGTGGTCTTTCTGGTGTAGTAACGGTTGCGGAATGAATATGCTTTTGCTGGAAGCTTCCAATAACTAATACAATGAGCCGCATAAACAAACAAAAGCCTAGTCATTCAGCATACAACTACTAGTAATATTAGTATAATTGTAGCCTACTAGAATGTTATGATAAGTCTACACTACAGTGCAAATTTCATCAATATACGTGAGCTCAATGTGTTTAGGATAGCCGTAGTGGATTACTCTTTTCTGTTTACTGATTAAAATTTACCTTATAGATCTATACTATATGCAGAAGTATGGGGACTATTACTAGTCTACAGGTATACATTACGTAAATGCTAGTTATTGTTAGCAAGACAGTTTATTGCAGTAAATATAACTAACAAATTTAATCTAACTACTAGAGCTAGGCTTTGGTATACAAATGCAGTAAACTAAACCTTGTAAACGAGCCTGCAACTGATACCTTTATTCTTGTTATTTTTTACTAATAGAAATTAACATGTTATTACAATATTTCTTAGGTAAACCTTATGCAAACCTTCTTATAAATGTGTAAATATCATTTTTTGAGTACATTTCGATAATTTATTATCAAGACAATATTTATGTAACTCCAACTAACAAATCTGCCATTTTCTAAAAATCCTAAAAAAAAAAAGACCGTGTGCCCTGACGGTACTTATAAGTCCACTTGTAAACATCGATCTAATACAAAGACAATTTGATTAAAATTGTATAACTAGAAGTTAAACGCGTTTGCCTGACTATTGAAGGTGCCGATAAAAAATATTTGGGGTTGAAAACTTGAAAAATAAGGTAAAACAAAGGGAATTCAAGAACATGTGTGAGAGAAGTACAGAACAATTGTGAACTACCGATATAGCAAGACATTGCAAATGGCGCCACACCAGTAATTTTCAAAAAACATTGATCCCTCCGACTACCGGCGACTCAGGGGAGATAATACTATTAATTATCTCAATAATTTTTAAATTAAAAATAATACAGGCACTTAATTAAAGTGGTACTTATAAGTACTGTCAGTAGATAAAGGGTTAATCCCTCTTATTACTTTCATTATTTTGACTTTGCCTCACAAGTTATGATCATCAATCGATATGATTTCACCAGGCGTTATAACCCCCAGGCGTTAGAAACATCAGACGTTATAATTCTCACATGTTATGTGCACTAATATCTAAGTAATTATCATCTCCCTTCCAGCACCGACAACCCCGTCATTCTCCTGCCAGGGGACGAAATCGTGACCACCTGCACCTACACCACGGCCAAGCTAGACCACTCTGTTTTACAAGGGGAGGCAACATCCGAGGAGATGTGCTTCGGCTTTCTCAGTTACTACCCTAAAGAGAACGTAAACAATCGGTTTTGTCTCACTGGAGGCCCTGATTTCAGGTAGCTTAGTGGTGCTTGTAAGATCATTTCCTGTCTAATGCTTAGTGCTGCTTACAGGTGGAAATGGTCTGACTATGTTGTTTGCAATGAGGTATTGCTAGGGGTGATTTTGACCAATTTCTTTAAAGTTACTTTAGCGTTTGCTTGCTTTTAAATTTTGTCAAATTTTCATGATGGTTTGCCAGTGTATATTTGTTGTAATGTCATGTTTTGTGTGTGTGTGTGAGCTTATTTCATCTCATATATTGTTTGAGTAACCTTTCTTCTCACACTCAACGGTCGATGAGGCTGAAGAAGCAAAGTTTACCAGTTTCTTTTACTTCCGCATAGGAATAGAGTGTAATCATCATTCACTAGCCAGTCTAAATTTCAATTTCCGATGAGTCTTGCGTTAACTCTGGAAACGCAAAAGCATTTCACATGGGAACTGAACTATTGAACGTGTGCTCTACCACTGCACCATACAGTAGCTCATTGTTAATTATGACATGTTCATTATCAGCTAGATAAATTATTAATATTATAGAAAACGTAATGAGTGTTAAAAAAATACACAAATCAGTTTTTTTTTTACAAGTTTCTTTAGAGAAATAATGAATTATTTTTAAGAATTATTTTAAAACTTGTGAGGCTTAAAGTGTTTGTATTTTGACGATTCTAATCCTTCAAAATAATTAAACAAATATACAAGTTCCTAGTTCGGTTAATGCTTGTAATGAAAATATGATAAAACTGGCCCTTATGTGGGTTGTGCAACTGTATTTGGTCCAACAAACGTAATCATTTTGCAAAAAAAAACCTATTAGACAGATTTTAACATTTGAGTTTCATATCGACACTCATAAAATTGTGTTGTTTTTTTTTAGTTTCTGTGACCCGACACAGTGGGCAGATCGAGACTGTCCGTACTGGTACTACTTTTACTCGGCGGACTTCCTCAAGTCCTCGGAGCTGTACCAGGGGCTATTGGCCAACTGCAAGCCGTTCACGCCATGTCTGCAGGAGTGTGTCCAGTTCATCGTGCAGGCGACACAGTACAGTGCCTGTCTCCGGGGAGATAACTTTGAGTTCATAAAGGTAGATAATCACAGACGTTATATAAACAAAATGAAAGTAGATAAACCTAACACAGGCTTTAGGGGTGTAGAGGTCATCCATTATTTATGAATTCCACTAAGAGGGTCCGAAAAAAAACCGGCTTTTGTGAGCGTGTAGACTTGGGGGGAGGGTTAACATCAAAATACTTCTTCGTTCTTCTTCTGCGTACTTAATTTAGTTTATGGTGGAGGATTTAAACAACAAGTCCAACTTCTTGCACGAACCAGGGACGGAACTACAGTGCCGCCACACCCTGCAATGCGGGGGAGGGGCAGGCCGTACAGGGGCCCACAATCGACCATAATCATTTTTTATAGTTAAAAAATAATTTTCTTGCATTTTTGACTTGATGGTTGCGTTATTCTATAGACACCATCCCGAGTCCTCTTTATCCTACAATCAAATACACGCTGTTGTCGGCAAAATTCTTTTGAAAATAAATCAAAGTCCATCGCGCGAGAGGCCGCTAGATATTAAGACAACTTTTGCCTCTTTATAGCATTGATTAGGGGCCTACAATCCATTGTAATTTTTATAATGTAAAATGTTCGTTTGTTGTATTGGTAGAACTAACATTCGGTACTATTTCATTTTTATGTACGTTTACTTCTTTTTGTTTAACAAACAAATACGATAGTAAACGTGTATAATTTGATTTCTCTCCCTTGAGTGTTTCACAAAAGGCTTTAGGAAAAGTAGTTGAGACCATCCCAACTTCGGTAAAATTTGGGAAGTTTTTGAATACACATAGACCTAACGTTTGTTTAAAATGTGTAGTTGCGCGCCCCGAGACCCCCAGCGACTATCTAAGTACCAGGGGTCCGCTTATTGGGTGATCTGCACAAGGGGATAGGTGTACTACTTGAATCACCAGTCTCGCTGCATTAGGGGCATCCACCGGTGGGTGTGTTCCAAGAGCCCCGTGACGCCTCTCACACCAAGGGGTGTTTAATTCACCATCAGCATAAACCGGGGCGTGTTTGTGGTAGTGTGTACAAACTAACGCCCCAACAATTAAGCCTTTTATAGTTCCGCTACTGGCACCTCGATAGTGGTTTTGTAAAAAGAAAAAACAGTTCTAATACAGTACTGATGTTCTACAATAGCTAATACACGCCGTTGCGTAAAAGAAGAAGAATATATATATATATATATATATATATATATATATATATATATATATATATATATATATATATATATATATATATATATATATATATATATATATATATATATATATATGTTTGGCCCAAAAATAATTTAGCATGGTCTCCAGATCAGCGGTTGCCATATATAGCTTTTCGTTGAGTGGGGCTTATAGGGGTCAGTGTTTGGATCGCGCCTGGCTATATAGGGAACAGTCCTGAAGGACGAGCTCTGTATTCTCCACAGAGGCGTAGCGAGGGGGGGGGGGCGGGGTGCGGACCGCTCCGGGTGACACCATTTAGGGGGTGACACCAAGGCAAAAAGTAGCAAAATATATAGCGAAAAATGATAATTCCACTTAATTAAGTGATTAATTCAAGTGTTGAATAGTGTTTTAAGAGGTGCAAATCGAAAGTTTGAGGGGGGGGGGGGGTGCAAAAAGAAAATTGAAAGTTTGTCCCCGAGAAAGGTCGCTACGTCTCTGGGGGTGGGTAACACCATTAAGTGCCGCACCGGATGACATCCGACCTCGCTACGCCACTGATTCTCTAGGGCCATATCACATGGACAAGTTTCGCAAAACCCATTTTATAGTTTTCTACGCATGTGCTGGTTTCAGTAGCGTAGCGAGGGGGGGGACATATGTCCCCGGGCGCCGACCTTAGGGGGCGCCAAAATGGGTTGGAGAAATAAATTAAAAGGTTGAGGGGGGTGCAAATCGAAAGTTTGAGGGGGGGGGGGTGTGCAAATCGAAATCTCGAGGGGGGGGGTGTGCAAATCGAAAAGTTTGTCCCCGGGCGCCGGGAAGGGACGCTACGCCTCTGGCTGGTTTAGTCTGTTGTGGCCTGTTCTGAGTTGGAAGATTATGTGTTGTTGTTTTCGTGTCAATTTGTAATATCCGCTGTCTTTTTTATAGTGTGGGTGTGTGTCAGACAACATTTGTGATTGTTTGTTTTTAATGATTCTTTTGATTTCTTTTGGATAAAGCGAGATTTTTAGTTGTTGTTTTTCCCCCAATTTTTTGCCAGCTGGTCCGCAATCTGATTTCATTTAAAATTGCTGTTTTTTACTTTCACGTTTATAAAGTATATAGAAAGTACTGTAATCAAGATTTTTAGAAATATCGAAGTTTTACACCACCCTGAGTCGGAAAAACATAGTTTTACAATTTTGTCCGTATGTCAGTGTGTGTATGTATGTGTGTATGTGAGTGTGTGTGTCTGTAAACTCAATAACTTGTGTACCATTACAGCTAGATTGATGAAATTTCATATATAAGTATTATATCAAATTTGTAGTTCTGTGTCAAGCTTTCAGTCATTTCTGATAACCGGAAGTGGAACTTATTCTATTTTCAATTTTTCAAAAGCCTATAACTTGAGTACTGTTTCAGACAGATGAACGAAATTTCACATATAAGTAAAAGATCTACTTTTCTTCCTTCTTTCAAAATGAGAGTAATTTCTGTTTACCAGACGTAGTAATTTACGCTATTTCCGATTTCTCAAAAACGCATTTGAATTTATAAAGTATAATAATATTCCGCACTATTCTTGTATTTATCTTGCAGAGAAACATACTCATCCTTACAGAAGAGGGCCGTAATATCATGGCCCTGATGGCCTCATGCCCTGTGCAAGTCTATCTGGCCACCAACTCAGCAACCGCCACCTCGACAACATTCCCTCTTGCTACCGACCCAGAGATCAACACCTTGACCACCACACCCACCGATGAGGGTGGTATGGACGCTGCTCATCCCATCAGTGCCGGAGGTCTGATGGTCATCTTGGTGCCTGCTCTGGTACTCCTGCTGGGAATAAACTAAAAACTCTCATGTCATTTCCGGTCATTTTTGGCCACCCGTATTTTGTTTTAAGTGTTTAGGTTAGGTTCGACTAATAGGGACCGAAACACTCCACTGGTTAGGCTTAATTCATTATGAAATTTACTTTTAGTAGTTATATTTTACTTTTTTTTTCCAATAACTAATAAATAGTTTATTTCGGTCACCAGTTCTAATTGTTACTAGCGGGTGTAAATATTTTTTAATTTTTTTTTGTTTTGTTTTTAATGTTTTATAGATTAAAAGCTTTGATAAACTTTTTAATTAAATGAGCACCTGTATATGATCATAATTAACGATTAGCTTCAGGACACACATATACATGTGCTCCTGCTTGATATGAATTTTTGCTGCACTTTATAAAAAGTTACAAACTTAATCTTCTCAAGATTTCCATTTCCATTTTACATTTTAATTTAGAAACAAAATAAATCACAGTATAAGGATAGTTGGAATCATAAATCACTATGGATTTGAAATCAATCGAATAGAGTACGATTTCGTGTACTTTTCTTTTTAAAACAATGGAAATAATTTTTTTTATAAACAAGATTTTAATAACAAGCTTTTATTTAATAACTAGACTACCCGTTATCTAGTTAGATAACTGTGGGTTTCGGGGGGTCATCCATAAATGACATCGCGTCTGCCAGCACTTATTATCCCAAAATAACCAGACCCCACATTCAAAAAGACGTTTTTTATATTTTAAAAACTCTACTAAACTCTACTTCACCTGCCCAGTGCCCCGCCAAGTCTCAGACATGTTTGTATTTTAAAAAAAAAAGATTCCGGCCGAGCATGGCTCTGACCACACTATCCCTTCATATGCTGAGAACATAGAAACAGGTGAACGCTACTTCACCTACCCTGTGCCCCGCGAGGTTCTGACAGTCAACCTTATCATTCACATATAGGCCTTAAGAAAATATAATTGTAAACTTTGTTGTAAAAAAAAAGTCATTGTTCTAAACTTTTATAATTAATGTGGTTAATCTACCAATGAATATATCAATAAATTAATTAACGGCTTTAAATTAGTTTGTACTTAACAGTGTGTTTAAGAAAGAACAATATTTACCACCCAAAATCCTATTTTAAAGCTCTACACATAATGCAGATTCTCCCCAATAACAAATAAAAAACAAACAAACAAAAAAAATGAGTTATCAAACGTCACTATTCAGTCAAATTTTAGCCATTGTTCTAAAACTTTAAAACTAATGTGGTTAATCTACCTATGAATAAATCACTAAATTAATTAACGTCTTTAAATAAATGTGTGATTAACAGTCTGTCTGCAATCAAAAATTATTCTCTACCTACATACTATTTAACAGCCCCCATATAGAGCAGTTTCCTTACAGTATCAAATCAGACAAACAAAATAAATAAATATTCAAACATGTAAACAAACTTGAGTTTTAGTAGTATATAGATGCACTAAAAAGTAGAACATAAATTATTTACTACTATTTAAACAACTAAAGAAAAGCGTGGGTCAGTTAATTATCTATTGGATACCTTTACAAATATTTAGGAAGAGACCCAAGCTTTTCTTTATAGTTATTTAAATGGTTGTGTATAATTTATTTTCTTCTTTTTAGTGCACTATTACATAAATGCTTGTTATTAAAACGTTTTTATGAAAACATTTTTCAGTACTTTACATGTTTTATTTACACTAGAGTTACATGACTAAAAACCATTGCGCACCTATTAAACGTGATGACGCGTGTATACTAGTGCGGAATACGACTGCCTACTAATTGGTCAACGTTTTAATTAATTCATAAAAATTTAATTAGGCAGCCAATTAAGTCAAATTTAATGTCATGTTGCATTGTCTTCATGTCTTGACTCACGTGCCGTATCTGGCAGTTAGAAGTGCTTGTAATTTTGCTCGGCCGTTTCGATCTAAACAGACGACAGACAGTCGACAGAGACAGTGAGTTAAATAAAATCTTGTAATAAAAGCTTGTAATATTAAAAGCTTGTAATAAAAGCTTGTAAATAAAGCGATTTTTGTACATTTTTCCGCCTGGTTGTTACGCCCCTGATTTGTGTTTATATAATTAGGTATGCGTGTCGTGCAGCAAGCGTCGTGTGACCGTGGTCGCAGTGGGATAACGGGTTTTGGAGGGTGGGGGGGGGGGGGGGGGAGAGGAGGAGAGAGAGGGAGAGTGGGTGAATAACTCGCGTCAATAAAAAGCCACTCCATTCAATTAACAGCGTTTTATACTACCAGTGACAGGCATTCTCTCGTGGGTTTTTGTGTATCGTATGTCACATGATCACCTGATCAGGTCACGTGACTTTTACTGATCAACATTATGAAACACACTCAGGGCTGCGTATGTCTTGCCTGAATTAACGCGATAACTGTTATATTTTCCGTCTAATTTTAGTTGGGTTGTCTACGTTTTCATTGGGGTTGGCTAAAATTGATGCAGTACATTTGTCCTAATCCAAACCAGGTTGTACAATACACTGTGGTAGAAAGGGTAACATGACCCCCCCCTCCCCGAACCAATAGAGTTTTTATAGAAAGTATATATTGTTTCCAGTATAAGCCCTTTCCACTCTGAATGTTTCAAGTGCCCCCTTCCCTCCCCGAGAAAAAAGTCTGAAAGAAACTCTGTAGTTAATATAATAATAGGGCAGATAGGAGTCCACCTGTGGCAGTAACGTCAGCATATGAAGGTGTGATATGATCAGTTATAAGCCAAGCTTTAAGCCTCAGCTTTTAATAACGTGAATCAGGTACTCAAGAAAGCTGAGTGGACTCAGTAATGTTTAAAATATTCAACCCTAAGTCCTTAATAATAGAATTTTTTAAAAGTATTAATTAGCTTCTGTTTTTTTTTACTTTCTCGTTTCGATGGATTATCGTAATCTTGCAGTTTTACACCTCTCTATTTTATTTAGAATTGCTCAACCAGAGATATTTCAAGGGAGGCAAGAAACTACGATAAATAAATCAGAGTGAGAGTTATTTCCCTTGTTCTGACCTACATGTCTATGAATAATAAATGTCGTAAACTAAACATAGCCGGGGTCTTGTGGTGGTGACACATACAGACCCAATAAAACATGTTATTAAACTTTGGTCTACGTGCTGCAGTCTTGAGGGGACGTGTCCTATATTACATTAGAACGTGTCCTACAGGTACCTGCTCTTAGAAGGCGGGGTAATTTATGTTTGAGCTCTTTAGAACATGTGTGGGTGACGTGGTACAGTAGCATAGAGGTGGGTAACGTGAAAGACAGATATATATATATATATATATATATATATATATATATATATATATATATATATATGTATAAGCTGCTTTACGGTTTTAAGAATGCAATTTAAAATTCACTTGATCCAATAACAAAAGGGGATATAACCCGAGTAAGAAGTAACAATACTCGATCAGTCAGATACAGTGGGTTAATAAAATAGCTCAGTGAGAGGGGATGATGCGGGAGAGCTTATGATTGCTAACTCCAAATGTCCCGAGTTCGAACCCCGGGCAGAGAAGGCTCGTTAGTTGGAGATGGCAATAGCAGGTCATTCAGGAGAGGAAGCTCTAAAATCAAACAACTGCTGCATTGGGTGGACTAAAAAGTTGAATTAGCTGGTTAGATGACGCATAATATGTTGACACGCGATACTTGTGTTGAAAAATAAATCCTCTCTGAAGTAACATTTTAAAAGGGCAAAGAGAAAAAAAAAGAATAAAGCAAAGTTTATTCTTGTTCACTTCTAGGAAACAAGGCTCCCGTTCTGCGGGGTTTTTTTTTACAAGTGTTTAAAAAGGCAACAATGCTAATGGGGTGTAAACTTTTATACCCGTCTGATGTCATCTGCTGTAGTTAAATATAGATCTAAATGCAGAAAACCGGGAAGTACTTCTTATGAATGTAAGACAATATTACAACAAATATCTAGATCAGAATATAGTCACAACAAATGTCGTCTGGATTAGAATATAGGGACAAAAGTTGTTTAGATGATAGTACACTGACGAATTTCGTCTAAATCAGAATATAATCAAATGTCGACTAGATCAGAATGTAACCAAATATAGTCTAAACAAGAATATAAAAACGAATCTGCAATAAATACAACATGCAGTATATGCATATAGTCAATTAATTCGACATGCAACATAGATCACCAAAAACAAAACAAAAATAAAAACATTGATTTTCGTGGAAAAACGATAAACAGTAACGCAATCTCCCCCCCCCCCCCAATAACTGGAGATGACGTAATCCGTTCCTTGCAGGTCGCACCTGATACGGATGTCGTATAACAAGGTGACCCATGCAACAATACAGGGAGTGGGGACAATGTATTCTTAATCCGGGAGATTAGGGGAAGTTATTGTTGTAATATTGGCGTTCAGCAGTGTGGGGAACGGGGAATTCTCAGATTTGAAGGTGTCTCGTCCCTTTTAGCTCCGGGTATCAGGAAGTTTATGGGTAGTGTTAAAATTAGAGGAACACTTCAAATCTTTACAGCACACCTCATGACATTTAATTTTAAAAAATCTAAAGTTTTTGACAGTTATTTTCTGATATATATATATATATATATATATATATATATATATATATATATATATATATATATATATATATATATATATACATATATATATATATATATTTATATATATATATATATATATATATATATATATATATATATATATATATATATATATATATATAATTTATATTTCTTACATTTTCATAGTTGGGTTTAAATTGTGTGGTATCTTAGCATAATTTTCTAAAAATATAATAAAATTGTTTTTAAATTTTAAAAACATAGTTTAATATTTGGAGGGGCTTTGGCCTACAATTTTCTTGGTTGTTTCATTTTCTATTTTCTAAACAGACCTTAAGTGAAGATGTGTTATTTGTTTTTTTTTAATAAGGAGGAGTGACCTGTTTTTTTAATTCTATTATTGTATTAACCACGTATATTTGCTAATTTCTACATCATTGTTAACCATGATCCTTGTCCTAGCATGAAAAAATTCAAACTGATGTTTTCGGTAGAGTCCTTGCAATCATATAACACAGCGTGTATGCTGAGATTGACAAAAAAAATTCTTTCCAAAACATTAACGCTAGTGTATTATGTGCAGCCATTGAACAAAGGGCTGCGTTTATGTCACTGATCTATTTTAAGCCGGGCGAGAAAAAAATGTAATGACCTCACGGGTTTCCGTAGCTTTATTATATAAGGAGTGTTACGTTTTGATTCGGTTTAAGCATTATTTAATTTGTTGTTGAACGTTCAGGAATCGAAACATGATGCTAAAGTAGGTGTATGTTTCAATAATTTGTAATTTTTAAATTTTAGTACATGTTTTATTTTTCATTGAAATTAAATTAAATTTTAAGTTTAATTGTATTTGAAAATTTATTATTGGTCACTTTAGTTTTGTGCTTCAGTTAGGTTTTAGTGAAGATATTTGTGTTTTAGTTGAGTCAGGTTTGTTGGATATTTTAAAAAGTTCAAGCAAAGATTTTTATTATTATTAATTCAGGTTTGTTTTTGTTTACCTTTAGGTAAAATAAATATGTCTGCATATATGTCTGTGTGAAAGAGAGTGTGCGTGTGTGTGCGTGTGTATGTCTGTGTATGTGTGCGCGCGTGTAGATGCGCGTTACAGTAAAATTTAAGTAAAGTCTGGGGTGTTTTAGTTAAGTTTTGGGCTACATTTTAAAAGAATATGTTTTCCTTAGTATACCAGACGTAACACTCGCCTAGATTCTATAAGACGTTACATTAAGATTTGACTTTGTAACTGTCTGCTGGCCAAGCCAGACGAGAAACAATTGCAGACGTTAACTTACATAAATTATCTTACTTTGTGATGTCTTAAAGATGTTCTATAAAATCAACAGTATCAATTTAATGCCTGTGTGTACAATTATTGTAAAATCACCTTTTTGGATTTTGCGCTTCGATTTTAAAATTTAATTTGTCGTCATTAAAAGAAGAGGATAGGTCATACATTTTAGAAGTGAAGATCCTTGAATTTTAATTTTACTGCGTCGTAAAAAAACAATCCGTGACAAAATGGCCCAGCTAAAAATGCCACGTCATACCGACCCTGTGACAAATTCAGCTCCCAAAAAATAGGCTCCCGTCATTACGGCTGAAGATAAAAGGGCTCCAATCAATAAGGCTCCCAACAAAACGGCTCCTTTCATTACGACTCCTGACAAAAGGATCCCGGTTAATATGGCTTCATTTAAAAAAGGGTCACTGCAAATTGGCCCTATTCAATACTAAATTGTCAAAAGGGCCCCTTCAATAGGATCCCATCATTAGGACCCCTTTATTAGGATCCCTTCAATAAGAACCCTTGTTCAAAGTACTTCTGACCCAGCTTAACCAACACACCTACATAACTAACATGTTTCTAGTGGCCTAATGTTTACAACATGTTATCCTCTGTAAGAAATAGTTTTATTTAAAGCCCTTCTAGTTCTGACTTCCATACAAACAAGCAGACGACAGAATGACCCAATCAGGTCATCGTTTTTTTTTTGTTTTTTTTTTTTTTTTTTGTTTGTTTTTTGACACATGAAAGGGGTGGGGGTGGGCCGGTGAAGTCCACAAGGTTAAATTAACAGCAGCCTGTAAGAAGACGGTCAAAACGAAACGTCGCTTATACTGTATACATAATTTACAGCCACGGCGGTGGGGGTGGGGAGGATACACCGGGTGATACCAAAAAGGGGGTGACACCAAAACGTGATTAGTTACATTTTAATTAGAAAATCAGCCGTTCCCACTTAATTTAATAACTTACAAGAGTTAGAGAGGTGCGGTGTGCACCTGGTGATATGAATTAGGGGGTGACACCAAAACAGTTGCAAAATTGGAAGGCTCCAGGAATAGATGGTATACCGGCAGAAGCACTGACAGCAGATATAGAAACTAACACCACACTACTACACACACTCTTCAAGAAAATCTGGGAAGATGAACAAATGCCAGAGGAGTGGAAGGAGGGACTACTCATAAAGCTTCCAAAGAAAGGCGATCTTAGTGCATGATGTAACTATAGAGGGATAACACTTTTGTCCATCCCAGGCAAAGTCTTCAACATAATATTATTTAACAGAATGAAGGAAGCGATAGATCCCCAGCTTCGAGATCAACAGGCAGGCTTTAGGAAGGAAAGATCATGTGTAGACCAAATTGCTACCCTGCGCATTATCATTGAACAGACCCAGGAGTGGAACTCATCTCTCTACATTAATTTCATAGATTATGAGAAGGCCTTTGATAACCTGGATAGAAGTCAATGTGGACATTGTTGAGACACTACGGGGTGCCACAGAAAATAGTCAACATTAAAATGTCTTCATATGAAGGTTTCAAATGTAGAGTAGTGCATGGCCAACAGACTTCAAGGGCCTTCCCAGTACAGACCGGAGTAAGGCAGGGTTGCCTACTTTCAGCATTCCTGTTCCTGCTGGCCATAGACTGGATTATGAAGATGTCAACATGGAAAAGGCAAAACGGTATACAGTGGACACTGTAGAGCCAGCTGGATGACCTGTACTTTGCTGACGACCTGGCCTTTCTTTCCCACACACAACAGCAAATGCAGGATAAAACTAACAGGGTTGCTAATTTGTCTACATGCCTGAATATCCACCGAGGGAAAAATAAAGTTCTCAGTCAATGCATCAAACAGCAACCCCACAACATTGGCAGAAGAAGCCATAGAAGAAGTGGATAGATTCACCTACCTTGGAAGTATTGTTGATAAGCAGGGTGGGACAGAAGCAGACATTAAAATAAGGACGGGCAAGGCAAGAGCAGTCTTCAAACAACTAAAAAAATGTTTAGGGTTCTGGAGATTTAATCCTTAGAAAAAAAAATCCGGATCTTCAACAAACTAGTAAAACCTGTTTTACTCTATGGAGCTGAGACATGGAGAATAACTGCTATAAAAAAGTAAAAAATACAATCATTTATAAACGCATGCCTCAGAAAGATCCTACAAATTCGCTAGCCTAAATCCATCAGAAAATATGTTCTATGGCAACGGACAAAGCAAAATGGAAATGTATTGGCCACACACTCAAAAAGCCTGTATCAAGCATAACAAGACAGGCCCACACCTGGAATCCACAGGGCAGGGGGAGGAGAGGCAGTCCAAGAAAGACCTGGAGACGTGACCTGGAAGAAGACACCAAGAAGATAGGATACGCCTGGGGACAGTTGGAGAGACTAGCCCAGGACAGGATTGCCTGGAAAGCTCTTGTCAGCGGCCTATGTCCCAGAAGGGAGACAGGAAAGCCTAACCTAACCTAAACATAAATTGTAAAATTTCACCCATTATAAATTTCACCTCAGATAAAATACGAAAGAGAAGCGAAGAGGGGTGACACCAAACCGAAAATGCTAAATTATTGGAGAGTGTTGAGGCGACACCAAACCTAGTGATGCCACTGCGTATATATATATATATATATATATATATATATATATATATATATATATATATATATATATATATATATATATATATATATATATATATATATATATATATATATATATATATATATATATATATATGTACACACACACACACACACTTGTTCTAAGAAGTTGCGCCGAGAACTGATCTTTATAAGACACTTGAACAAAACATGCAAGAAACGAATAATTATTGTATCGAATGTTTTCTCGGTCAGTAGAGATATAATCTTATGTCGCGGTGACATATGTTGACACGCCGTGCAGGAGAAGTTAGTGTGACCTGTTATAAGTCGTGTGACAATGGGACAGGATCAGCCATGGGAAACGGTGCGTCTTGAATCTTTTAAAGACACGGTAGGGTTAGGTAACACGTCTTACATGTTGGGTGATTGTGGTTGGGTGACAGTAAGACGTAACGTAATGGCTAACTTTTCATTTCAAACTTGCCATCGTTTAAATATCGAAGTCGTTTTGAATATGATATAAACTTTGATTTAAACATCCAGAACTAAAGTAAATTTTGATTTCTATTTCTTATGACTGTTGTAAACTTAAAGATGTATAAGTAATACAACTAGATTTATAGGAAATACAAACTTTTGGTTAAAAGATCCTATGACTAATGCTCAAAACGTGTGGTTAGCTATCCTTTAATTAATTTAAACTTTTTTTGTAAAGAAAAGAAGAAAGTTTCTAATAGATTAAGACGGATGTAAAGTTTGACTCTGCGTAAAATAAATACAGGTAAAGTTTCATTGAAGCATAATACTAAAATAAACAAATGTATGGCACACAGAAATGTCATTTTCTATGTTCCTGATTTATTATCTACAATTTAGTTTTATATTTAAATTAGTATTTACATCTAATCAATTAATCAAACGATAGAAATTAGTCAGTGTTTGTTGTTTTATTCTCTGTACTTTTCATCTGTACCTTACTTTGAATTATAAAAATATAAGTATTATCATCGTCATATAATATAGATGGTGACCGGAAAGAAGCGCAACGGAAAAAAACGCAACGGAAAAAAGCGCAAAACAAAAAGCGCAACGGAAAAAAGCGCAAACGGAAAAAAGCGCAAACAGAAAAAAGCGCACACTGAAAAAACCGCACACAGAAAAAGCTCAAACAGAAAAAGCGCACACAGAAAAAAGATCACACAGAAAAATGCGCAAACAGAAAAAAAGCGCAAACGAAAAAAAGCGCAAACATAAAAAAGCGGACACAGAAAAAAGCGCACACAGAAAAAGCGAAAACGGAAAAAGCGCACACAGAAAAAAGCGCAAACGGAAAAAGCGCTCACAGAACAAAAGCGCAAACAGAAAAAAAGCGCAAACGGATTAAAGCGCAAACAGAAAAAAAGCGCAAACAGAAAAATGCGCAACCAGAAAAAAAAACGAAAAATGTGCAAAAGAGAAATTTAGCACAAAGACCATATGGACTAGATGACACATTTATACATGACTGTTACGGCTGCTGTGAACGTGTCGTGTTTGATCACGTGATCTACTACCATTTAAAGTATACCACTACCAAGTGCATTCCCATCACCACGATACAGGCGATAATCGCTTTACACAATGTCTATTATTTTCTTGGTCAATAATTATTCAAATACTATTCTCGTATAAATAAACATAAAAATATCCTTGATATCGACATTACACGAAGTATTTCTCACATTCTCCCTAGTTCGAACTACCAAGCTTGCATACCATAACAACCCATTCCTATTGCAAAATGTCACCCCCTTTCATCCGCGTCATCAAACATTCATTCGTCATATCTCTCACAGCAGGCCTAACAGTTATGTATAAATGTGTCATCTAGTTCATATGGTCTTTGTGCTAAATTTTTCTTTTACGCATTTTTCGTAGTTTTTTTTCTGGTTGCGCATTTTTCTGTTTGCGCTTTTTTTCTGTTTGCGCTTTTTTCCGTTTGCGCTTTTTTCTGTGTGCGCTTTTTTCTGTTAGCGCTTTTTTCCGTTTGCGCTTTTCTCTGTGTGCGTTTTTTCTGTTTACGCTTTTTTCCGTTTACGCTTTTTTCTGTTTGCACTTTTTTTCTGTGTGCGCTTTTTTCTGTTTGCTCTTTTTTCCGTTTGCGCTTTTTTTCCGCTGCGCTTTTTGTTTTGCGCTTCTTTCTGGGAACCAATATAGATGCCTTTTTTGATAAAATTAAAAACTATGTGCAGATTCTATGATATCGGTACAACACATTTGACGGTGCCATCAAGATTGATGTCGTCTGGTGCGCTACAAATATGATATACATACAATTAATTGTGGATTTTAAAAACATTTTTAGATCACTTGTGTCTCGGAGTGCTCTCTAGCAATACTTAACCATATTAACTAACAGTGCTAAGTACAATTAACTTTTTAATATTTTCAGATCACTTGTGTGTCTCGCGGTGTTGCAATGCGCATGCGCTTACCGAAGTTACAGAAGTAAAATTCCCAATGGAGACGCCGTCCCGTACCCCTGCAAGCCAAATAACGTGTGGGAGGGGGTGGGTCACATATTGGACGAAGGGACCGGGGTTCGAAACTCGTTCGGTTTGGATTTTCAAGCCGCTGGACATGTAAGTTATTTTTAATTAGATTTAAAAATTTTAGGTTTTAGACTTCAACAAAATAAAACTTGTTTTTCTTTCTAAGGCGTGGAAAGAAGAGCTGTGTAGAAAAGATTCAGACGGTGATGGGATGACCAATGGTCAAGAGTTGGGTGATCCTGACTGTACATGGAAAGAGAACTCTATTCCTAAACAAACCACTGGATTATATCACCCTGGTAAGTCATTTACCAGACTCTAAAACGTCGAAGTATTTACTTTTAAATGATTTTGTATGATATTGTTCTTGTTATTTAAAATTTCCTTTAAATTATATAGTATGTAAAACGAATTTAAGAAATCCTCTCTAACCACACGTCTCCCCCCCCCCAGGTATCTGTGACCCGTGGGACTCCCCGTCCTGCCTGGCTAAGCCCGTCACCCACCCGGTGTACAAGACCCAGGGGGACTGGATGAGAGAGGAGTGTAAGGCCCAGGAGTTTGTTTGTGCTGGCAAAGATGAACCAGGTCTGGCTGTGTTGTTGTTGTTGTTGTTGTTGCTCTTTTTTAGTTAAAGTCAAAAATGCATGTCAGTTTAGTTGGTAACACATTCAGAAATAGACCTCGATGAATATAATTTTGGAACATGGTGGTCTAGTGGTAGGAAGCTAGATCTCTTATCTTGATTTGTAGTGTTTGGTCCCACCGCCACGCCCCACCTTCTCTCTGTTCTGCATTTTTGTTACTTTACAACAAAACTAATTCATCTGCCCAATCCAAAATTCGCGGCACGGCGTGGCCTAGTGCTAGAGCGCTAGACTGCTTACCCGAAAGTAGCGGGTTTGACGCCGGGTTCAAGTAAATGGAACGTCCCCGAGTTCGCCCAGCTCTGATGGGTACCTAGCTGACGTTAGGGAAAGTAAATGCGGCTGGGCATAATGTTGATCACATTTTCCCTTCATATGCCGAGGTCGTGAAATATATGAGCTCTAATTCATTTACCCCCAAGGGATCGCTCGGCCTAAAGAGTATTCTGTACTTTTTTTTTTAAATCCAATAATCTAGAAAATCCCTATGCCAACATTTGTTGTTAAAACAGATTAAAGCTAACAGAAAAAAACCCAATCACACAGATTAATGTTAATGGATAACGTCCAATCAAACAAGTTAATTTAACTGAATAACGCCCAATCCCGAGGAAGCAGCCTTTTAAAAATATTTTTATTTTTTAAAATATCTGCTCAAATTTGTGCGTCTAGAATTTTTTGATGACGTATGGCGAAAGGGGGAGGAGGGGGCTCAAAACATGTGCCGTAGAACGTTTAAGTATGTTTGTTTTCCAGAATGAAACTAATGAGTAATTCGTTAACTTACCTGAATTAAATAAATTGTTAATTCGGGGAGGGGGACCAAGTGGTGGACGGAACTATGTTATTGTGTGGCAACCTGTAACGATGGAGTAAGGTATAGGTTTTAAAACAAAGAATAGGGAACTCTGATATCCCTTTTCGATGGAAAATCTCAATCTTTTATTATCTCCATTGGTGGGTTATCCTCACCCTCCCTACCCACCACTCCCGCGAACTCCGTGAAAGCAGCCGTCCGTGACAACAGTGAAAAGTTATGGCAGAAATTGTTATTTCCTCCCCTTCTAAATTCTAAATTATCTGCTCCAAATGAAATCACTAATTCGTCCCGGCTCTACGCTTGTAAACATTTAGTGTTAACCACAGCTCACCAGACTGGTGGGGGTGGGGGTGGTAGCGATATGCCTAGAGAGCGGGGGAGTAACGTCATGCATTTACGTGGTGTCTAGCATGGTCCCCATGAAGAGAATTATATATATATATATATATATATATATATATATATATATATATATATATATATATATATATATATATACGAGCTGATCCGCTGCGTATCATACGCCGCTAACGCCGCTATTTATTTGTTTTATTTTCTACTTTTCAGTAATTCATAATTTGTGAATTCGACTGTACCAATGCTGCCATTGAAAATATTTGCTTTAAAACACTATCAGTGGGTTTTTAAGGACGATACCCCCCTCCTTTCCCCCCCCCCCCCCCTACCCCCCCCTCTTAGTTACCTCCCCTAAGTTTAAAATCGTTTCAAACTAAATTATCTGCCCCTAATAGCCGTCACTAAACCCGGCTCTACTATTGTAAACATTTAGCGTGAACCACAGCTCACCAGACCATGTGGGGGTGGGGGTGGTAGGGATATGCCTAGATAGGAAGAGAGGGGGCTGCTAGGCGCGCTTACAGCTTGGTATTTTCTAGGGTATCCAAGAAGAGAATTATATATAGATAGATGAGTAAAAATTATCTGCATGGTGACGTTGATACATATCCGAAAATAAACTTCCACGTTCTCCACGGTTTGTATCACGTGACTTGCATGTATCGCCCAGGTGTGCAGAACCTCACCGTTCACCTGCCCAGCGACTCTCAAGTCCCGCAGAAAGAGACCACCTACATGTGCCAGATCTTCGACCTGGAGAGCTTGATCACACCTGGGGATTATCACATGATCGCCGTAGAGCCGGTGATTGACAACGCTTATGTGCTACACCACATGGTCTTGTTCGGGTGTACAGGTAATTACAGGTAGAAATGTTACAGGTAAACACAGGTAGAAATGTTACAGGTAAACACAGGTAGAAATGTATAGGTAATCACAGGTAGAAATGTTACAGGTGAACACGGGTAGAAATGTATAGGTAATCACAGGTAGAAATGATCAGGTAAGCACAGGTAAAAATGTAGATGTAATCCCAGGTAGAAATCTACACGTAATAACAGGTAGAAATGTACAAGCAGTTATAGGTGAAAATACAGAGGCTGTTACAGGTAGAAATGAACATGCAGTTATAGGTATAAATGTACAGATATCTAGAGATAGAAAAGTAAATGTAATTACAAGTATAATAAAATACTTTAAAAAAACTTTTTAAAAAACCACGTTTTTTCTTGTGGACTAAAAAGTAGAAAATAACTATTTACATACATTTGATGACAAAAAACGTGGGTACGTTCACCATCAAATTTCCCGACAAAAAACGTGGGTCGGGCAGATGGGTCGGGAAATTTGATGGTGAACGTACCCACGTTTTTTGTCATCAAATGTATGTAAATAGTTATTTTCTACTTTTTAGTCCACAAGAAAAACGTGGTTTTTTAAAAAGTTTTTTTTAAGTATTTTATTTTCTCCTTTTTAGTCCGTTGCTACACATGAAAAACGTGGTTTTTAAAAAAAAGTTTTTTATATAGTTTATTTTCTACTTTATCCAATGACTTGATTAAGTATGACTTGACTAAGTGTTTATAAATACACGGACTAAAAATCTTGAGCGACCAGGATTCGAACCTGGGTTGTCGCGGCCACAACGCGAAGTACTAACCACTATACGATCACGGCCAGCGCGCTCACATCGATTGGGGCCGAAGTAACTGTGTCAATAGGTCTTCAGTCTTGTCGGTATCTTTAGAAATCATGTCCTCAATTTTATGGTCCTTAGGGCGTAATTACGGTCTTTAATTGCTAGTTTTTATGATTGCATCTGAAATTGTTAGGCGAAAGTAACCTGCATGCCAAATTTCAGATCTATAGAGCAATCAGAAGTGGGCTAATTTTCGATGTCAATTTTAACAACAAACACATCCACAAACGCGAAGCTGAGTTAAGAAAAACGTGTTAAAAACGTGTTAAAATGTAAAAGTAATCAATTGTAAAAATGCAGATGTAATTGCAGTTAGAAACATAACGGTTATTACAAAGGTAATTGCAGGTATACATACTAAAAAGAAAACTGCTGGTAAAAATATAATACTTTATGATTCAGAGTAGAAATGTAAAAAGTATTCGCATGTAGAATGAATAAGGTAAATACACACATACATGTAAAGGTAATTGTATTTTATGACGTCATCAGATGAACAAGAAGCGACCAACTCGTCATTCGAGTGCGGCATGGTCGCCTCTCCTGAGTGCCAGGATTTTCTCAGCGTCTGGGGCGTGGGTCTGTCCGGGGACTGCAGCCACCCCAGTGCAGGGGTCAGGTTAGGGGTCAAAGGGTACAACAGGATCGCATTACAGGTGGTGTTTTTTTTTATTGTAGCGAAGATTGAATATACCTTCATTTTAAACACGTACTTTAATTTTTATCACTTTAAGTAACCTCACATAGAGTAAATTGCAGGTAAAATTTCACACAGTTTTGTTTTGTTACATTCACGATCCATCATCTTTCCCCACATTATTTATAACCGTTCTATGCGTCATTAGTTGTTGTGTGAGATTCACTTCTTCTCAATTATCTGTCTAAATAACTGCAGTATGTCCAATGGACACCAGCGAGTTGATGAGATTCCGACCATAATGTTGTTAACAGGGAATAAAAACGTGCTTTTTAGATTTAGACCGTAAATATATATATATATATATATATAAACTTAAGCCTAAAATTAATTTAGAAATTTTATATTTTTAGAATAAATGCTATAAAAGTTGCAAATCCAGAGAACTTGAAAATAATTTGTTGAGTTTAAGGCTACATTTCTATTTAGTTTCATCAAGCCTAAGTTATAACCGGATGTTTCACTTTTGTAAGACAAATATTGATTGGCTGTACACTAACTTAGTGATCGATAACTATTTGTTTACAAAACTTTGCAGATCAAGTTTTTAAATAACAATGCAAATTTAAACCCCTTGACCTAGCTTTTCTATTTTTAGCTTACAATGTGTACAATAAAATTTATGGCGGCCTATCGAATAACAAAATGCCATTGTTTATGTCGCCAAAACACGTCAAAACCAAATTGTTTTTGCTTTTTTTTTTTTAATTTTTATTTAGTTACCGAAAATATTAAAAACCACAAATACATCCAATCTTTAGTAAAGTCCAAAAAAAAAACAGACAGACAGGATTTTATAACCATATTAATTGTAACTACGCCGTGCATGATTTTAAAATTAATTTATGGACCTCTCAAATACCTTTGAGACTTTTCTCGCTGGTGTCCATTGTCTGTTTAATGAATGTCACGTGTCTGCCTTGAATGTTGTCGTCCTTCTGATTGTCTACTTAAACGGTGGTCAACTGACCAACAGTCCATCACTTTTTTAATGTGACCCCTGACCTTGACCTTGATTAACGGCGATAAAAAATTGTGACTTCTGCCAGGTCCACTGGAACAACCCAGACAAAATCTCCAATTGGACGGACAACTCGGGGCTGAGGCTATTCTACACACCCAACAGGTGAGGGGTTCCGTTAGGGTTAGGGAAGTGCAGAGGTGAGGGGTTCTGTTAGGGCCAGTGACGTACCGTAGTGAGGGGTTCAGTCAGCGTTAGTGACATACCAAGAGAGGGGGTTCTGTTTGGGTTAGTAACCTACAGGAGTCATGGTTTCAGTCAGGGTTTCTAAAATACGGATGGGAGATTTACACTACATGAACATTTTTGGGTCGATTTTGCGGAGGGTTCAGATAATGTGTTAAGTGTGTGATGCTGAAAACTTTTTCAAAATATATTTTCAGGTTGTTCTGTTTAGGGCGGGGTTTGTAATGTTGTAATGGCTTAATGGGTTAGATCGAGTTCAGATTTTTTTTTCACCTGGATTTTACCTGTGCAGCGATTGTTTTTTAAATCGTTCTAAACAGAAAGTAACTTAACATATCTTTGTTTTGTAAATTGTTTGTTGGAAGCAAGACTTAAACAAACACTATCCAGAGCTAAGCCGAATCGCGTTTTGTTTTTTATGCTTTTATTGAATACCCAAAATACATTAAAATATTTAAAAAAAACAATCAAGTATGATCACTCATGTCGTAATAAAAAGATATTTGTTTAAAAAGAAATTTCCTTTCGAGAGCCCTGACTGTCTAATGCCATTTTCCCGAGTTAGATGCCTCATGTATGACACCAGCTGCCGCGTCATAAATTTGACCCCCCCCCCCCCCCTATGTTTCAGGAGAACCTATGACGCAGGCATCATGCTGACCGGCTCCAACAGCTTCGTGCTTCCCCCAAGACAGGCGTCTGTGAGCGTGAAAAGCACGTGCACGAAGGGCTGCACCAGCCAATCGTTCGCGGGACCGATTCACGTGACTACGGCCTGGAACCACATGCATTACGCTGGTATGTTTATCTTCTTCTTCTTCTTAATTAAGTATTACCTGTCGAAATAGTATGCTCATGGCACGGCGTGGATTAGGGTTAGAGTTAGACTGCTAACCCGAAAGACTCGAGTTCAAAACTGTTTTTTTTTTCTGCGTTCTTAATTTTAGCTAAGGAAGAGACTCCCTTCAACACAATTAAGTATGCGTGTCAACTTTTTATGCGCCATATAGGCCGTTGACTCCGATTTCAGGCTGCATTTCTTTTTGGATTTGCTTTCATAGTCCAACCAAGAACAAATTACAAGGCAGCCGTTTTTTTTTTTTAATTTTAGAGTTGTCCATCTTAGAAGAGTTGCTGTCCCCAGCTGTCGAGCATTATATGCCCGAGGGTTTGAACTCAGACATTTTGGTTTAGCAACCATGAGTTTGACAACTCAACCACGCCGACCAAATGCGGGTTTACTTCAGTAGAGCGTCCTTGAGTCCACCCAACTCTAATGGGTACCTTACTCACGTTAGGGAAACAAAGGTTGGTCATAGTGATGACCACTTTCATGTGCTGAGATCTATGAAACAGATGAACTCTATTTCATCTGCCCCATGTGCCTTGGGTACGAACGGGAAAGGTTGTTAATGTTATGCCTCATATAGGCTGTTGATTCCGATTTCAGCCTGCTTTTTACTTTCTCGTATATACGAAGTATAGAGAAAGTATTGTAATCGTGCACAAAAAACACTTGAAATTTAAACAATTTTCACCGTATTACACCTCAGTCCTTCATCACATCCGAAGTATAGAGGACTTATTTTAATCGGGCAAAAATTATCAATCCAGATTTATCGAAATTAAGAGGTTTTATGCGTAATCCAGTCTGAAAAACTGGACTTTGCAATTCTGTCCGTATGTCTGTGTGTCTGTCTGTCTGTCTGTCTGTCTGTCTGTCCGTGTGTAAACACGATAACTTGAGTACCGTTACAGCTAGGTTGATGAAATTTCACATATAAGTATTTTATCAAAATCGTAGATCCGTATCAACTTTTGAGCAATTTCCGATAACCGGAAGTGGTACTTTTTCTACTTTGAATTTTTCAAAAGCCTATAACTAGAGTACTATTTCAGATAGATAAATGAATTTTCACATGTGAGTACAAAATCTAATTTTCTACCTTCTGTTAAATTTTGAGTAATTTCCGTTGACCGGAAGTAGTAAATTACGCTACTTCCGATTTCTCAAAAAACTAATGTAAATTTTTAAAGTACTAATAATATTGCGCACTATTATGCACTTTTTTATTTAGCGTTCACTTGGTGTGCAGTTCTTTTGTCTACTAGATATTATTCTATTTTTAAAACTTTCAGTATTCAAAATGGATTAAAAATCATGTCTATAGCCCGAGTTCCCATCCCCTGTTGTTTTATATAAGAATATTCGAGAAAGTTTAGGGGAGATCACTCCCGATTTATTTACTTTCACGTATATACGAAGTATAGAGAAAGTATTGTAATCGTGCAAAAAAATCTCTTGAAATTTTAACAATTTTCAACGTACTACACCTCAGTCCTTCATCACATCCGAAGTATAGAGGACTTATTTTAATCGGGCAAAAATTATCAATCCAGATTTATCAAAATTAAGAGGTTTTATGCGTAATCCATTCTGAAAAACTGGGCTTTGCAATCCTGTCTGTATGTCTGTGTGTCTGTCTGTGTGTGTGTAAACACGATTACTTGAGTACCGTTACAGCTAGGTTGATGAAATTTCATATATAAGTATTTTATCAAAATCGTAGATTCGTATCAACTTTTGAGCGATTTCCGATAACCGGAAGTGGTACTTTTTTCCTTTGAATTTTTCAAAAGCCTATAACTTGAGTACTATTTCAGATAGATAAATGAAATTTCACATGTGAGTACAAGATCTAATTTTCTACCTTCTGTTAAATTTTGAGTAATTTCCGTTGACCGGAAGTAGTAATTTACGCTACTTCCAATTTCTCAAAAAACTAATGTAAATTTTTAAAGTACTAATAATTTTGCGCACTATTATGCACTTTTTTATTTGGCGTTCACTTGGTGTGCAATTCTTTTGTCTACGAGATTTTATTCTATTTTTAAAACTTTAAGTATTTAAAATGGATTAAAAATCATGTCTATAGCCCGAGTTCCCATCCCCTGTTGTTTTATATAAGAATATTCGAGAAAGTTTAGGGGAGATCACTCCCGGTTTATTTAAAATTGGATTTGCTTCAATAGCCTTCGTCCAACCAAGAACAAACTAAAAGGCAGCAGTTGTTTTGGTTTCTCTCATAGATCGAACTCGATACTTTTTGGTTTAGCAGCCTCGTGCTTTACCGACCCGACCACGCCGACTACAGTCACTTTGACATTTGCATCAGAGTTTTTTTTTCAGATAACTTGTTCCTGGAAGGTGTGTGTGCGGTGAGGCGGGGGGTGGGGGGCTTGGAATTTAGGGTTGGTGGACGTAATTTTTTTAAATTTTAGTTTGATTATTTTTCTAATTTGTTCATGAGGGAAGGGGGTGAGAAACTAAACATGCTACGCTCCCCATCGACCTCCCCCACTTTGTTCCCACCCAAAGAGATACCTCAAAGAAAACTGGACAGTGAATTAATTGTTTGATGATTTATTTCCGGGATTGTAAGTTCGGAAACGGTATTACATTGTTAAAACACATTTTAATAACCCTACTAATTCACATTTACGAAATATTGACATGGTATTTCTGGTTTTACAGTACAATTTACAACGAATATTCCTACTAATTAAACAAAAAGATTATTTTCGTGTATTGGTTACAAAACAAGCACAGAAAAAATTCGGTTAAAAAACATCCCATTGAAATCACAATTAGCGCAAACTAAACAAAACGATGCAGAAAAAAAATACGCACACCAAAAATTTCGACACACAGAAAATGCACAAATAATAAAATGTGCATATGAAAAATGCGCACACGAAAAAAAGTGCAGATGTGCTCTGCAGTCAATACACCAGACTGGAAAAACCCAGTATAGTTAAAGTGGTACGTCTAAACCAATAGTACCAATATTTTTTGACTAAAAAGTACAATTCTTTTTTTTTAAACAGGCATCCAGATGAATATACAGGTGTTTAGGAACAACACAGCCTTGATGTTTATAACCAATGACCCGGTGTACATTTACGATAGTCCCCAGGCCCACTCGTAGTGAGTACTTGATTTATGTTTTCTTGTGACATAACGAAGACGGAAAAATTCAAAATCCCCCACCATTTCATTCTTTTATAAGAGATGGTTGGGGATTAGTTTTTATCGTAGGTTAGCCGTACCCAAAATACTTTTACGTAGAGACTTGCCATTTGTGATCATTTTCATTAAGGAATTTTAGGCAAGGGTAGGTTTTAGGGTCAGGGTAGGGTGATCCTTCACCATTTATTTTCTCTGCATACATCCAGATACAAGTCTGGAATGGGGGGGGGGGGGGGCAGTGGCAGTGAGATACAACAAGGTTGTGATCAAGTTATTTTTAACCTAGTATGTATGTTGTTGGTGTATTTTAGATTGAACCTTATAATGTAAATAATATTCGATTTTTTAATATCAGCTCATAACCATCGGAATTTTTCATTATTACAAAAATAAACCGGTAGTGATCTCCCCTAAACTTTCTCGAATATTCTTATATAAAACAACAGGGGATGGTAACTGGGGATATAGTTATGATTTTTAATCCATTTTAAATACTTAAACTTTTAAAAATAGAATAGAATCTCATAAAAAAAAACATTGCGCACCAAGCAAACGCCGAATAAAAACGCGTATAATAGTGCGCAATATTATTAGTACTTTAAAAATTTACATTAGTTTTTTGAGAAATCGGAAGTAGCGTAAATTACTACTTCCAGTCAACGGAAATTACTCAAAATTTAACAGAAGGTAGAGAATTAGATCTTTTACTTACATGTGAAATTTCATTTATCTATCTGAAATAGTACTCAAGTTATAGGCTTTTGAAAAATTCAAAGTAGGAAAAGTACCACTTCCGGTTATCGGAAATCGCTCAAAAGTTGATACGGATCTACGATTTTGATAAAATACTTATATATGAAATTTCATCAACCAAGCTGTAACGGTACTCAAGTTATCGTGTTTACACACGGACAGACACACAGACACACACACACACAGACATACGGACAAGATTGCAAAATTATGTTTTTCCGTATCAGTGAGGTGTAAAACGTCGAGATTTGTAAAAATCTCGATTTTTTTTTTTTGCACGATTACAATACTTTCTCTATACTACGTATATACGAGAAAGTAAAAAATTGAAGAATTAATTATATTATATCAACAAACTTCCGATAGTTGTTAGTGTATAATCACCTCTCGTTACAATCCCCACACGTTATAATACCCACATGCTATGTCCAGTTGTATCAAAGAAATTATCATCTCCCTTTCAGCACCGACAACCCCGTCATTCTCCTGCCAGGGGACGAAATCGTGACCACCTGCACCTACACCACGACCAAGTTAGACCACTCTGTTTTTCAAGGGGAGGCAACCTCTGACGAGATGTGCTTCGGCTTTCTCAGTTACTACCCTAAAGAGAACCTGACGAATCGGTTTTGTCTCACTGAAAGCCCTGATTTCAGGTAGAGGTCACTTCCGGTCTAATGCTGCAGGAGGATAAGTCATTTCCTGTCACATTTTGTTTACAATTTTGTATTCAGTGTTTGTTTAAGGCGTCCCTTCGGGGGGGGGGGGGGGGGAGGAGAGGGGGGGGGGATCGACACACGAACGAAAGCATACCGATAATATATAATACGAGCCGGCCCGCGGCATAGCATACGCCGCTATTTAGTTATTGTTTTTTCTACTTTTCAGTAATTCAAAATTTGTGAATTCGACAGTACCAACGCTGCCACTGAAAATATTTCTTTAAAACACTATAAGTAGCTCGTTAAGGACCATAACCCCCCCCCCCCCCCCCTTTCCTCCCCCCCCCCCCCCCCCCCCTACGTTTAAAATCGTTGGCTCTGCTTGTAAACATTTAGAGTGAACACAGCTCACAAAAACCATGTAGGGGTGGGGAGGTAGGGAGAGCGTTTGCAGCTTGTTTTCTAACGGCTCGAAGAGGAGAATTATATATATAGATATTCTATTAACCGTGTCCCACCCCTTACCACCCCCCACCCCCACCCCGCAGGAAAATGTTGTCTAGTTTCAAGCCATCGAAATATTATTTCTAGTTTATGTGACAACAACCAGTGGATAGAACGAGGATGTCGGTACTGGGAGGACAACTACTACCAGGAGCTGTACCAGGGGCTGGTGGCCAACTGCAAGCAGTTCACGCCCTGTCTGCAGGAGTGTGTCCAGTTCATCGTACAGGCGACACAGAAGAATGCCTGTCTACAGGGAGATAACTTTGAGTTTATAAAGGTAGATATTCACAGACGTTATATAAACAAAATAAAGGTAGTTAACCGCAGGTACAATGTGTGAATTCAAACCTGAGTAGTAATGGAATATATTTTTACGAGTAAATAACTATAGCTATTAAATAAGCCACACCCATGTTCAAATGTACGGGATGTGGAGGTGGGGAGGTAGAGCGTACCATTGCAGGTTAGCGCCGGAGTTCGCTCAGCTCTGATGGGTACCCGACGGGGAAAACAAAGCCGGCTGGGCATAGTGCTAACCACACTAACCCTTCATATGCCGATACTAGACAAACAGATGAAATCTACGTCAAGGACTTCATGGTCTGAAAGGATTTTTTTTTTACAAAAAATATATACTTGTTAGACGCTTTAATACACATTATACAGAATAATGGCTGTCGTCGCTACATCTATATATATATATATATAAAATTCTCTTCATGGGGACCATGCGAGACACCACGTAAACGCACGCCGTTACTCCCCCACTCTCTAGGCATATAGCTACCACCCCCACCCCCACCAGTCCGGAGCTGTTGTTCACGTCGAATATTTTCAATCGCAGAACCGAGGCCGAATTAGTGACGGCTATTAGGGGCAGATAATTTAGTTTTTAAACGATTTGAAACTAAGGGGAGGTAATAACACGTTCTGCTTGATCTTTTCATTGTCGTCAGTAAACTGTCGTCACTGACGGTTGCTTTCACGGGGATGGGAGGAGGGAGGGAGGGAGGGGGGGGAGGGAGGGAGGGTAGGGAAGGGAGGGGAGGGGGAAGGAGGGGGAGGAAAATCGTCCTTCTCGAGCGTCCGATAGTGTTTTAAAGCAAAATATTTTCAGTCGCTGCAGCGGTAGTGTTGAATTCACAAATTATGAATTACTGTAAAGTAGAAAATGAAACAATTAAATAGCGGCGTATGCTTACAGCGCGGGTCAGCTCGTTAACAATACTCCTCTAGTCACGCGTGTGTTTAAAGTCCTGTTATTATATAAGTCATATGTTTTCTGTTAACTTCTCTTCATGATAAAACATTAGTAGAAATGTATGTACAAAAGCCTATGTGAGCCTTACAGCCATATATTGTTTAACACACATTAACCCATTGTTTACCTTTCAATAAGCTTTGTTTGCCTTACAATAAGCATTGTTTACATGAAATTAATCTTTTTTTTTACTTTTCAGAGAAACGAACTGATCAAGAGCGATGGTGGTAAAGAAATCATGGCCCTGATGGCCTCATGCGCAGTCGAAGTCTATCTGGCCACCCACCCAGCGACCAACACCTTGACCACCACACCCACCAGTGAGGGTGGTGTGGACACCGCTCACTCCGTCAGTGCCGGAGGTCTGATGGTCATCTTGGTGCCAGCTCTGGTACTCCTGCTGGGAATAAACTAAAAACTCTCGTGTCATTTCCGGTCATTTTTGGCCACCCGTATTTTGTTTTACGTGTTTAGGTTAGGGTCGACCAATAGGGACCGAAACACTCTACTGGACAATCGTGTTATTAACAACTTGTCGACTCAAACCCTCTGACATATCATTAGGCTTAATTCATTATGACATTAACTTTTAGTATTTATATTTTACTTTTTTTCAAGAACTAATATATAGGTCACTTCCTTATTCTAGTTGTTACTAGCTGGTGTAAATAGTTTTTAAATACCTTTTTTTTTAGTTATTATTATTTTTTAGATTAAAAGCATTGATTTGCGTTTTAATTAAATGAGCACATGTATATGATCATAATCATCGATTACCTTCAAAACACATGTATACCTGTGCACTTTTACCTGTACATTCAGCACTATTTGTGCTCCTGATTGACGTGAATTTTTTGCTACACTTTGTTAAAAGTTATGATATCTTGGCACAAGATTGATTCCAGTGTGTACATAGAGTACATTGTGTTGATGCAGGGTCTATTTCTCCATCCTTCTACACCACGCCAAATACAATCTGTATAAAGTATTTATTTACCAAGAATCCACAGTCTAGACCGCTTCATCTTCTCCACTCAATCCACCGTCTGCACCAAATCCATTATAAATACGCAATCCAGCATCCAGACACAATCCAACGTCCGTTTTCCACACACAATATACCATTCACACACAATACACAATCTACACACAATTCACAATCCACAAAAAATCTATCCTACCACCCACACACAATCCACCATTCAGACCAAATCCACCATCCTCAATCAATCCACCATCCATACACAATCCACCATCCCCACACAATCCACCATCCATATACAGTCCACCATCCACACACAATCCACCATCCATACACAATCCACCATCCCCACACAATCCACCATCCATACACAGTCCACCATCCACTCACAATCCACCATCTACATCTACCCTATCGTCTATACCCCGATGACTGTAATTCCAAGTTGTGATATTTTTCAAGTTCTCTATTTCACGATATATACCTACCTTTATATTTTATAACAACACACAACACAGAAAAGGGAGACTATTACATAAACGTGGTTTAAACAGTAATTTTTGCAGTTAATTCCCTGTAAGAGTTTTACTTTTTTCCACAATATGTGTAAATAAATTTCTATTGTATACAACTCACTGAATATTTTACGTTTTTAATATATCAACTACAGATGTGCAGAGTTTCTTTCAGGCATCTCTTCGGTGAGGAGTGGGGGGGGGGGAGCACTTCGACTACCCCACCCCCAAATGAATTTAAATAGAAAATATATACTTTCATTAAACCCTTGTCCGACCATCGGATTTTTCTTTTTGGATTTCAGTGGCGTAAGCGATCAGTCGTGTACAATAGTAGACTGGGGGCCCTCACCCCATGGGCGTACGGTATATTTATATTGCGGAATGTTTGCAATTTATTTTACAAAATATTTCTGTCTTTTTCAAAAATTAAAAATTTTCAAATATAATTTGTACTATACCTTTAAACTTTAAACCATGATGCTAGTTCATAAAAAAACTCATTAAAAACGTTTTAATAACAAGCTTTTATGTAATAATGCAGTAAAAATTAGAAAAAAAATTATACGTTACTATTTAAATAACTGTAAAGAAAAGCGTGGGTCAATTTAGTACCTATTTGTTTCCTTTACTAATATTTAGGAAGGGACCCACGCTTTTCTTTATAGTTATTTTAATAGTAGTGTATAATTTATTTTCTACTTTTTACTTCATTATTAGATATAAAACTTGTTATCAAAACTTTTTTAATGATTTTTACTTTCTCGTATATACGTAGTATAGAGAAAGTATTGTAATCGTGCAAAACAAAAATCGAGATTTTTACAAATCTCGACGTTTTACACCTCACTGATACGGAAAAACATAATTTTGCAATCTTGTCCGTATGTCTGTGTGTGTGTCTGTGTGTCTGTGTGTCTGTGTGTCCGTGTGTAAACACGATAACTTGAGTACCGTTACAGCTAGGCTGGTGAAATTTCATATATAAGTATTTTATCAAAATCGTAGATCCGTATCAACTTTTGAGCGAATTCCCATAACCGGAAGTGGTACTTTTTCTACTTTGAATTTTTCAAAAGCCTATAACTTGAGTACTATTTCAGATAGATAAATGAAATTTGATATGTAAGTAAAAGAGCTAATTCTCTACCTTCTGTCAAATTTTGAGTAATTTCCGTTGACCGGAAGTACTTATTTACGCTATTTCCGATTTCTCAAAAAACGCATGTAAATTTATAAAGTACTAATAATATTGCGCACTATTATGCGCTTTTTTATTTAGCGTTCACTTGGTGTGCATTTCTTTTTTCTACGAGATTATATTCTATTTTAAGAAATGTGAGTATTTAAAATGGATTAAAAATCATGTCTAGAAGTCTATATCCCGAGTTGCCATCCCCTGTAGTGTTATATTAGAATATTCGAGAAAGTTTAGGGGAGATCACTCCCGGTTTATTCTTTTAATACTTTACATTTTTCAAATTTACAATAGAGTTGCATGAATACAAACTATTACGCACCTACTGAGCGTGATGACGCGTGTATAATAGTGCGGAATAGTTGGGCAAGACTGCCTACTAATTTGGTCAAATTTTTAATTAATTCATAAAAATTGAATCAGCCAACCAATTAAGTCAAATTTAATTTCATGTTGCACCGCCTTCATGTCTTGACCCACGTATCAACCATGAACCGAATCAGTGGCGGAACTAGAAAAAAACGGCCACCCCGCAAAAAAAAATGTTTAGCCCCCCCCCTATATATAGGCCTATTTATATATATATATATATATATATATATATATATATATATATATATATATATATATATATATATATATATATATATATATATATATATATATATATATATATATATATATATATATATATATATATATATATATATATATATACATAGGATACTCATTAATGCCCTGTTCGGGTTTTGAAAAAGAATGTGTTTTTTTTTTCAATTAAAACACATTACAACATCAAGTCATGTGTGTAAAGGCATCAATCTGTTTTGTGAAAATCAGTTTTATTTTATCACTGTTATAAGACCGTACAACCTCTAGTCGGTCAAAAGAATATAAAACATGAAAGCTTTGTATAAGTAATGGTGTCTCGTGTTATGTTTATTTTTATGGGATTTTTTTAAATTTATATTATTAATTTCAAATACATTTCCTTTTTATACAATGTCATTTGTTTAAAAACAAAGGGAAAAATAATAAACAAGAGCGTGGGGTGGTGTCTATAGAATAAAGATAATCCAACCGCAGCTACTGTAATCTTTTTACAAAGCAACCATCAAGTCAAAAATGCAAGTAAATTATTTTTTTTATCTATAAAAAAGTATTAAGGTCGGCTGTGAGCCCCTAAATGGCGTGCCCCCCCCCCCCCCATCTTCCCCACATTGCGGGTTCTGGCGGCACTGTAGTTCAGCCCCTGAACCGAATCTGTCAGTTAGAGTGCCCGTAATTTCGCTCAGACGTTTCGATCTAGACTGACGACAGACTAACGGGAGAGGAAGAAAGTTAAATAAAAGCTTTTAAAAAAACGTTTTAATTACAAGCTTTTATGTAATATTGCACTAAAAAGGAGAATATAAGTTATACAATAACTATATAGAAAAGCGTGGTGACTTTAGTATCTATTGGATACCTTTACTAATATTTAGTAAGAGACCTACGCTTATCTTTATAGTTTTTTAAATAGTAGTGTATAATTTATTTTCTTTTCAGTGCATTATAATTGCTAATTTCTACATGATTCTTAACCATGATCCTGTTCCTAGCATGTAAATCCTCAAACTGATATTTTTTTACTAACAAACTAACACCCTTATTTTCGATAGAGTGCATCGCAATCATATAACGTAGCGTGTATGCTGAGATTGACAAAAAAATACATTCCAAAACATTAACGCTAGTGTATTATGTGCAGCCATTGAACAAAGGGCTACGTTTATGTATAAGCAGCGCGCAACCCTTCCTTCGTCACTGATCTATTTTAAGCCGGAGAGAAAAAAATGTAATGACCTCACGGGTTTCCGTAGTTTTATTACATAAGGAGTGTTACGTTTTGATTCGGTTTAAGCATTATTTAATTTGTTGTTGAACGTTCAGGAATCGCAACATGCTACTAACGTGGGTGTATTTTTCAATATTATTTAGTTTATAAATTATTGTAGTTGTTTTTTTTTTATTTAAATTTTATTGAATTTAAGATTCAGTGTATTTCAAATTCTTTTCTATTCAATTTAGTTTGTGATTCAGTTAGATTTTAAACGAGATATTTGTGTTTTAGTCAGGCTTGTTGGAATTTAAAAAAAAAAGTTCAAGCAAAGATTGTTATTATTGATATAATTCAGGTTTGTTTTTGTTTACCTTAAGTAAAATAACTATGTCTGTATATAAGTGTGTATGTATGTGTGTGTGTGAGTGTGTGAGAGAGAGAGTGTGTGTGCGTTCGTGCGTATGCGTGTGTGTGTGCGTGTGTATCTGCGTGCGAGTTTAGATGTGTGTTAGAGTTAGGTTTAAGTAAATGCTGATGTGTTTTAGTTAAGCTTTGGGCTACATTTTCAAAGGATATGTTATCCCTTTATATATATGTGTATAAATATTTAAAAAAACACCTTATAATATTTTTTAAATCACCTTTTTTTGGATTTTGCGCTTCGATTTCAAAATGTAATTTGTCGTCGTTAAAAGAAGAGGATAAGTCATACATTTTAGAAGGGAAGATCCTGTAAGTTTAATTTTACTGCGTCGTAAAAAAAGCAATCCGTGACAAAATGGCCCAGCTAAAAATGCCACGTCATACCGACCCTGTCAAATAGGCCAGTGACAAATTAAACTCCAAAAAAAAATTGGCTCCCGTCATTAAGGCTCAAGATAAAAGGGCTAAATTATAAGGCTCCCCACAAAACGGCTCCTTTCATTACGACTCCTGCTAAAAGGGCCCCAATTAATACGGCTTCCCGGCTAATTGGCCCCCCATTCAATACTACATGTCAATAGGACCCCTAAAGAGGACCCCTTCAATAGGACCCCTTCAATAAGACCCCGTGTTCTATGTACTTCAGACCCAGCTTAACCAACACACCTACATAACTAACGTGTTTCTAGTGGCCTAATGTTTACAATATGTTACAATATGTTATCCTGTGTAAGAATTAGTTTTATTTAAAGCCCTTCTAGTTCTGACTTCCATACAAATAAACAGGCGACAGAATGACCCAATCAGGTCATCGGTTTTTTTTTGACACGTGAAAGGAGTGGGGGGTGGGCCGGAGAAGTCCACACGGTAAAATTAACATGAGCATTTTAGAAGACAGTCAAAACAAAACGTCGGTTATACTGTATACATAATGTACAGCCATACTTTATACATAATGTACAGCCATACTTTATACATAATGCACAGCCACAGCTGGTGAGGGGAGTGGGTACACAACGGTTGATACCATCAAAGGGGGTGACATTCAACCTTTCCAGCTCAATTTTATAGCTTATTAGAGTTATAAAAACGTTAGGCTCATGATGATAATATGCGTTATGGGGGCGACACCAAGTTAAGCTCACCAGATATATAATAGTTTGTGGAGATGGGCAGGATTTAACACAATGACATGGTCACAATTTCATATTTTTATAACGTTACGCCTACCCATACTTTGAAACTAAATTTTATTGCCGTAGCATTATAAAGCAGGGGTGGGTCTTGGGGGAAAGGGGGGAAAGACGGGAGCGGTCCACACCTGGTGACACCATTTAGAGGGTGACGCCAAAACAAAAAAACTTTACAATTTTAACTTCCAAATAATAATTTATTCTGATAAAAAAACGAAAGAATGTGGGCCCTCAAAAAGGAATTTGAAAAAAGAACGAAAGAATAGGGCAGAGGGGCGACACCAAATCGAAAATGCAAAATTATTGGACAGTGGTGAGGCGACACGCGACCTAGTGACGCTACTGCAAGTGTATATATATATATATATATATATATATATATATATATATATATATATATATATATATATATACAGTATTCTAAAGTATTCATTTTACAAAACAACCATTAAGTCAAAAATGAAAAGAAAAATTAACCCTTAAATGCATACCGGTACAAATCTGCAACATACCAGTTACATTCCCATAAAATATTAGCCTAAACATGTTTTGTTCTGTGCATCACGTTGTTTGACTGCTACAATGTTAACCTACAGCTTGCGCATGTCTAAGTGACCTAGATTTGTTTTACCGCCAAGCCGATCTCAAATTTGTGCATGATCACAAGGTTTTTTATATCAGCATTTTTGGTTGGCGTTTCAAAGTTCATCAAAGTCAAATAAACTGGTTTTGGAATTTCAAAAAATATGTTTCTGACAACCTAAGGTATGTATTACATATTGTATGTGTTGTTTTGAAAATAAATTCATAATTTATTTTAAAATCTTCACAAAACTTAGGTTGCAGTGCTGCAACGTTATGCAAATTGACCTACTTTTGCACTATTTTTTTACTTTATACATCAGCATTGGTGATTATATAGTACATTGTTTTTCTTCTAGTTTCAGCATAATCATTAAGAAATCAATGTGAATCAAGGTGAAGAATAATATGAAGTAGATGCTCTTGGTGATCCAGAGTATCTTCCTGGATCTCCTGGACCAGTGTGGACACTGGATCTCCTGGACCAGTGTGGACCCTGGATCTACAAGACCAGTGTGGACCATAGATACCCTGGACCAGTGTGGACCCTGGATCTCCTGGACCAGTGTGGACCCTAGATATCCTGGACCACTGAGGACCCTAGATATCCTGGACCAGTGTGGACCCTGGATCTCCTGGACCAGTGTGGACCCTGGATCTACAAGACCAGTGTGGACCATAGATACCCTGGACCAGTGTGGACCCTGGATCTCCTGGACCAGTGTGGACCCTAGATATCCTGGACCACTGAGGACCCTAGATATCCTGGACCAGTGTGGACCCTGGATCTCCTGGACCAGTGTGGACCCTAGATATCCTGGACCAGTGTGGACCCTAGATATCCTGGACCAGTGTGGACCCTAGATATCCTGGACCAGTGTGGACCCTAGATATCCTAGACCAGTGTGGATCCTAGATATCCTGGACCAGTGTGGACCCTAGATATCCTGGAACAGTGTGGACCCTAGATATCCTGGACCAGTGTGGACCCTAGATATCCTGGACCAGTGTAAACTTTAGATATCCTGGACCAGTGTGAACCCTAGATATCCTGTACCAGTGTGAACCCTGGATCTCCTGGACCAGTGTGGACCCTAGATATCCTGGACCAGTGTGGACCCTAGATATCCTGGACCAGTGTGGACCCTAGATATCCTGGACCAGTGTGGACCCTAGATATCCTGGACCAGTGTAAACTTTAGATATCCTGGACCAGTGTGAACCCTAGATATCCTGTACCAGTGTGAACCCTGGATCTCCTGGACCAGTGTGGACCCTAGATACCCTGGACCAGTGTGGACCCTAGATATCCTGGACCAGTGTGGACCCTAGATATCCTGTACCAGTGTGAACCCTGGATCTCCTGGACCAGTGTGGACCCTAGATATCCTGGACCAGTGTGGACCCTAGATATCCTGGACCAGTGTGGACCCTAGATATCCTGGACCAGTGTGGACCCTAGATATCCTGGACCAGTGTGGACCCTAGATATCCTGGACCAGTTTGGACCCTTGATCTCCTGGACCAGTGTGGACCCTAGATATCCTGGACCAGTGTGGACCATAGATACCCTGGACCAGTGTGGACCCTAGATATCCTGGACCAGTGTGGACCCTAGATATCCTGGACCAGTGTGGACCCTGGATCTCCTGGACCAATGTGGACCCTGGATAAGTGTGGACCCTGGATCTCCTGGACCTGTGTGGACACTTAAGTCTCGTGGAATAGTGCAATGACAGGTGCAAATTCACATCAAGCTCAAACAGTTTGCCACAAGTGCAACATATATCTTTGTTGTAACAAGACCAACAACTGTCTTAAAAAGTATCACCTTACTACATAATGTTGCAGACATACAACATTTCGGATTTTAATTAAAGAACATGTTTAAACTAAAAATATTTTTTTACTTGACTATACTCTTCATATACCCACCAAAACAATATAAAAATATTTTTTTCAATCATTATTAAAAAGTCATGCATTTAAGGGTTAAACTTTAAAAAATCGATTATGATAGGCTGTTGGCCTGTTGGTAGGCTGTTGGCATTGCGGGGTCTGACGGCACTGTAGTTCCGCCCCTGGACAGGATAAGCCATGCGAAACGGTGCGTCTGGAATCTTTGAAAGACACGGTAGGGTTAGGGAACACGTCTTATATATTGGGGTGATTGTTTGTGATAGGGTTGCAGTAAAACGTAACGTAATGGCTAACTTCTCAATTCAAACTTGCCATCGCTTAAATATCAAGTCGTTTTAAATATGATATAAACTTTGAATTAATCATATATAGCTAAATTTTGGGTTCTAGTTCATATGACTGTTGTAAACTTAAAGATTTATTGGTAATGCAAGCTTTTGGTTAAAAGATCTTATGACTAATGCTCAAAACGCGTGGTTAGCTATCCTTTAATTAATTTAAACTTTTTGTGAAGAAAAGAAGAAAGTTTCTAATAGATTAAGACGGCTGTAAAGTTTCACTCAGCGTAAATGCAGGTAGGCCTTTAGTTTTATTGAAACATAATACCAAAATAAACAAGTGTATGGCACACAGAAATGTCATTTTCTATGTTCCTGATTTATAATCTATAATTTTGTTTTATATTTTAAATTTGTGTTTAAAACTAATCAATTAATAAATCAAGAGAAATTATTCAGTGTTTGTTGTTTTATTCTCTGAACTTTTGATCTTTACCTTACTTTGAAAAATAAAAATATAACTATGATCAAATAATACACATACATTTTTGGATAAAATTAAAAACTTTACATTTTAAGTGTTAACTTTTGTGCTAAATCACTGATATTGTGACGACACATTTGACGGTGCCAACAAGAATGATGTCATCTGTTGCGCTACAAAAAAAAATACACGCACTTTAATGTGGGTTTTTTACGTTCTCGTATATACGAAGTATAGAAAAAGTCTTGTAATTGTGCAAAACAAATCGAGATTTATTTACAAATTTCGACGATTTACACCTGCCTGAGTTGGAAAAAGATAGTTTTGCTATCTTGTCCGTATGTGTGTTTATGTCTGTGTGTCTGTAAACACGATAACTTGAGTACCGTTACAGTTAGGTTGATGAAATTTCATATATAAGTATTATATCAGAGTTGCTTTTGAGCGATTTCTGATAACCGGAAGTGGAACATTTTCTACGTTCAATGTTTCAAAAGACTATAACTATTTCAGATAAATAAATGAAAATTCACATATAATTAAAAGATCTAAATTTCTGCCTCCTATCAAATTTGGGAAAATTTTCGTTGACCGGAAGTAGTAATTTTTGGTATTTCCAATTTCTCAAAAAATACATGTGAATTGATAAAGTACTAATAATATACCGCACTATTATACACATTTTGTTTTGCGTTCACTTGGTGCGCAATTCAGTTTTCTACGAGATTCTATTCTATTTTTAAAAGTTTAAGTAATTAAAAATGGATTTAAAATCATATCTATATCCGGAGGTGCCATCCCACGTTGTGTTATATAAGAATATTCAAGAAAATTTAGGGGAGATCACTCCCGGCTTATTTTTCATCGTCTTTTGATCACTTGAGTATCGCAGTTCTCGCAAGCAATACTTTAACTCTATTTACCTACAGGGCTAAGTACAATTAACGTGTTAATATTTTCAGATCACTTGTGTATCTCGCGGTGCTGCAATGCGCATGCGCATACAGAACTTACAGAAGTAAAATTCCCAATGGAGACTCCGTCCCGTACCCTTGCAAGCCAAATCACGTGTGGAAGGGGGTGGGTCACATTCAGGACGAGGGGACCGGGGTTCGAAACTCATTCGGGTTGGATTTTCAAGCCGCTGGACATGTAAGTTTTTTTTCTTTAACTTAGATTTAAAAATTGTAGGCCTTAGACTTCAACAAAATAAAACTTTTTTCTAAGGTGTGGACAGAAGAGCTGTGTAGAAAAGATTCAGACGGTGATGGGATGACCAATGGTCAAGAGTTGGGTGATCCTAACTGCACATGGAAAGAGAACTCTATTCCTACAAGAACCACTGGATTATCACACCCTGGTATGTTATTTATCAGACTCTAAACCGTGGATGTCATTACTTGTATATGATTTAATTTATATTGTCATTGTTATTTAAAATTACCTCCAAGTTACATATCATGCAAAACGACGTTAAGAAATCCTCTCCAACCACACATCTCCTCCAGGCATCTGTGACCCGTGGGACTCCCCGTCCTGCCTGGCTAAGCCCGTCACCCACCCGGTGTACAAGACCCAGGGGGACTGGATGAGAGAGGAGTGTAAGGCCCAGGAGTTTGTTTGTGCTGCCAAAGAGGAACCAGGTCTGGCTGTGTTGTTGTTGTTGTTGTTGATGATGATGATGCTGTTTTTAGTTAAAGTCAAAAATGCAGGTCAGTTTGGTAATACATTCAGAAATAGTGCTCGATGTAATTTTGGAACATGGTGGTCTAGTGGTAGGACGCTTGATCTCATCCTGATTTCTAGTTTTTGGTCGTCCCCCCCCCTCTCACTGTTCTGCATTGTCGTTACTTTGCTACAAAACTAATTCATCTGCTCAATCCTAGTGCTAGAGCTCTAGACTCCTTAGCCGAAAGTATCGGGTTCGATGCCGGGTTCAAGTAAATGGAACGTCCCCGAGTTCACCCAGCTCTGATGGGTACCTAGCTTACGTTAGGGAAAGTAAAGTTGGCTGGGCATAGTGCTGACTACATTATCCCTTCATATGCCATGAAACATATGAACTCTACTTTATTTACCTCCAAGGGATCGCTCGGTCTAAAAGGTATTCTTTACTTTTTTTTAAAATCCAATAATCTAGAAAATCCCTATGCCAACATTTGTTCTTAAAAAAGATAAATGCTAACAAAAAAAAACCCAATCAAACAGATTAATATTAATGGATAACGTCCAATCAAACAAGTTAATTTAACTGGCTAACGCCCAATCCCGAGGAAACAACTTTTTAAAATCTTATTTTTCAAAATATCTCAGATATTTTTCAAAGTGTGCGTTTAGGCTTTTGTGATGACGTATGGCGAAAGGGGGAGGAGTGGGCTACAAACACTTGGCGTACAACGTTTAAGAATGTTTGTTTTCCAGAACAAAACTGATGAGTCATTCGTTAACTTACCTGAACTAAATAAATTGTTAATTAGGGGAGGGAACCAAGTGGTGGAGGCAACCTGTAACGATGGAGTAAGGTATCGGTTTTAAAACAAAGAATAGGGAACCTCTGATATCCTTTTTCTAGGGAAAAAAACGGCAATCTATTATTATCTCCCCTGTGAGATATTTATCAGTACATCCCCTGTGAGCAATCTATTATTGTCTGTCCTTTAAGCACTTTAATACTACATCCCCTTTGAGCAATCTTTTATTGATTTCAATGATAGCAATATTATCTCCCTGTAATGGAAACATTAGGGCCCAAAAAATAATTAATATAAATACTCTCTCTCTCTCTCTCTCTCTCTCTCTCTCTCTCTCTCTCTCTCTATATATATATATATATATATATATATATATATATATATATATATATATATATATATATATATATATATATATATATATATATATATATATATATATATACGAGAAAAATGGCCCGTTGAGGAAGGATATAACGGGCGCTAGGTTGATAGTGCTGTTTATTTTCTCTAAACCAAACCAAAGCCACAACCTTAACCTCAAATTGAATCGGAAACGACAAATTACTCTGAAAACGGATTTTTATTAAGAATCGTAATTTTAATCGGATTTAAGCTTTATCTACACTTAGTTACCGCGCATTGATACTAGATACTGTCGTAGCCACACCCCTAATCTATGCACCTGATCTCAATCATGACAAAAGTCGCATTTAGAGTTTCTTTCAGGCAACTCTACTTGGGGATAGGGGGCTCCGCCCTCCCCCCCCCCCCCCCCCCCCCACACACACCCCAAAGCACGTCTATCGTCCCATTCAACGAAATATAATTATATACATTTTCCAGTTTCCGCCCACTCCCTGAAAATTCCACCCCTGCCCCCGAAAATGTTCAAGTACCCCCACCCCTCCCTCTCCGGGGATAAAAAAAGTCTGAAAGAAACACTGGTCGCATTTGTAGACCATTCAAACTAACGGTAGAAACTGTGCACGCATAATACGGTTTGTATCACGAGACTTGCTTGTATCACCTAGGTGTGCAGAACCTCACCGTTCACCTGCTCAGCGACTCTCAAGTCCCGCAGAAAGAGACCACCTACATGTGCCAGATCTTCGACCTGGACAGCTTGATCACACCTTGGGATTATCACATGATCGCCGTAGAGCCGGTGATTGACAACGATTATGTGCTACACCACATGGTGTTGTTTGGATGCAGAGGTAAGCACAGGTAGAAATTTTACAAGTAATCACAGGTAGAAATGTACAGGTAACGGCAGGTAAAATGTACAGGTAATCACAGGTAGAAATGTACAGGTAATTACAGGTAAAAATGTACAGGTAAATACAGACAGAAATGTACAGGTAATCACAGGTAAAAATGTACAAGTAACATAGACAAAAATGTACAGGTAATGACAGGTAGTAATTTATAGGTAAACACGGGTAGAATTGTGCAGGTAATGACAGGTAGAAATGTACAGGCAATCACCGGTAAAAAATATTCAGGTAATTAAAGGTAGAAGTGTACAGGTAATTACAGGTAGAAATGTAAAGGTAAACACGGACAGAAATGTACAGGTAATGACAGGTAGAAAATTACAAGTAGAAATGAACAAGCATCTATAGGTATAAAAGTACAGAAATCAAGAGATAGAAAAGTAAATGTAATTACAAGTATAAAATGTAAAGGTAATCAATTGTAGAAATGCAACGGTAATTGCAGTTAGAAATATAACTGTTATTACAAAGGTAATTGCAGGTATACATACATATAAAGGAAATTATAGGTAAAAAATAAATAAATTCAGTGTAGAAACGTAAAAAGTAATCGAATGTAGAATGAAAAAATAAATACATACATACATGTAAAGGTAATTATATTTTATGACGTCATCAGATGAAGCAGAAGCCACCAACTCGTCATTCGAGTGCGGCATGGTAGCCTCCCCTAAGTGCCAGGATTTTCTCAGCGTGTGGACGGTGGGTCTGTCCGGGGATTGCAGCCACCCCGATGCAGGGGTCAGGATAGGGGTCAACGGGTACAAGAGGATCGCCTTACAGGTGGGGTTTTCGTAGATAAGATGTAAATAGCTTCATTTTAAACACGTATTTTGATTTTCATCACTTTAAGTAACCTCACAGAGTGTAAAATGCAGTTAAATGTCACACTGTTTTGTTTTGTTACATTCACGATCCATCATCTTTCCGCACATTATTTATAACCGTTGTATGCGTCATTAGTTGTTGTGTGAGATTCTCTTCTGGTTAATTATCTGTCTAAATAACTGCAGTATGTCCAGTTGTCTGTTTAATGAACGTCAGGTGTCTGTTTTGAATATTGCCGTCCTTCTGATTGTCAACTGGCCAACAGTCCATCACTTTTTAAATGTGACCCCTGACCTTGACCTTGATTAACGGCGTTAAAAAAATTGTTTGCCACTTCTGTCAGGTCCACTGGAACAACCCGGACAAAATCTCCAATTGGACGGACAACTCGGGGCTGAGGCTATTCTACACACCCAACAGGTGAGGGGTTCTGTCAGGGTTAGAGAAGTGCATAGGTGAGGGGTTCTGTCAGGGTTTGTGACGTACCGTAGTGAGGGGTTCAGTCAGCGTTAGTGACGTAACGAAGTGTGGGGTTCTGTCAGGGTTAGTGACGTACCAAGAGAGGGGTTCTGTTTGGGTTAGTGACGTACAGGAGTGAGGGGATCTGTCAGGGTTTGTGACGTACGGAGATGAGAGGTTCTGACAAGGTTTGTGATATACGGAAGTGAGATTTACAATAAAGATACACTTTTGGGGTCGATTTGGTCGAGGGTTCAGATGATGTGTGGTAGGGTTCGGTGTTTTAAATAAGGGTTAAGCGTTTGGAGTTGAAAACATTTACAAAATATGTTTTCAGGCTGTTCTGTTTAGCACTGGGTTTGTAATGTTTTAATGGCTTAATTGGTTAGATCGAGTTCAGATTTTTAAAAACTTCCTTTCACCTGGATTTTACCTGTGCATAGATTGTTTTTAAAAACATTCTAAACAGAAAGTAGCTTAACATATTTTTTGGTCAAATATTTGTTGCAAGCAAGACTCAAACAAACTTTACACAGAGCTCAGCCGAATCGTTTTTTTTTTTTAAACTTTTATTGAATCCCAAAATACACTCAAATATTACAAAAGTGTTAAACAAACAAAAATCTCATAAAAAAACGTTTTAATAACAAGCTTTTATGTAATAATTCACTAATAAACCGGGAGTGATCTCCTCTAAACTTTCTCGAATATTCTTATATGAAACAACAGGGGATGGCAACTCGGGAAATAGACATGATTTTTAATCCATTTTAAATACTTAAACTTTTTAAAGTAGAATAAAATCTCGTAGAAAAAACGATTGCACACCAAGTGAACGCCAAATAAAATGTGCATAATCGTGCGGAATATTATTAGAACTTTATAAATTCACATGCGTTTTTTGAGAAATCAGAAATAGCGAAAATTACTACTTCCGGTCAACTGAAATTACTCAAAATTTAACAGAATGCAAAGAATTAGATCTTTTACTTACGTGCGAAATTTCATTTATCTATCTGAAATAGTACTCAAGTTATAGGCTTTTTTTATTCCACTTCCGGTTATCGGAAATCGCTCAAAATCCACGCTTTTCTTTGTAGTTATTTAAATAGTAGTTGATAATTTATTTTCTCCTTTTTAGTGCATTATTACATAAAAGCTTGTTATTAAAACGTTTTTTATGAAAAAAATTTAGTATTTACATTTTTTTAAAAATAAAGTTACACGACTAAAAACCATTGCGCACCTGTCGAACGTTGTGACGCCCTATTGAACGTGATGACGCGTGTCTAATAGCGCAGAATAGTTTGATGAGACAGCCTACTAATTTCGACAAAGTTTTAATTAATTCATAAAAAATTAATCATGCAACCAATTAAGTCAAATTTAACGTCATGTTGCATTGTCTTCACGTCTTTACCCACTACGAATCGTGTCTGTCAGTTAGAAGTGCCTGCTATTTCGCTCGGGCGTTTCGATCTAGACAGACTGACGACAGACAGAGGAAGTGAGTTAAATAAAAGCCTGTAGAAAGTATAATCAATAATGTTGTAATAAAACTGTACAAAATTTTATTTTAAAATAAATTAAATTTCCCTTCGCGAGCCCCAAAGGTTTGATGCCCTTTTAACGAGTTAAATGCCCCATGTTCGACAGCAGCTGTCGTGTCATAAATGTGTCTGACACCCTCCCCCCCCCCTCTCCCCTCCCCCCCCCCCCTCCAACGTGTTTCAGGAGAACCTATGACGCAGGCATCATGGTGACCGGCTCCGACAGCTTCGTGCTGCCCCCTAGACAGGCGTCTGTGAGCGTGAAAAGCACGTGCACGAAGGGCTGCACCAGCAAGTCGTTCGCGGGACCGATTCACGTGACTACGGCCTGGAACCACATGCATTACGCTGGTAAGTTTAGGGGTCAGCGTGGTCGAGTTGTCAAAGCTCATGTTTGCTAAGCCGAAAAGACCCGAGTTCGAACCCTCGGGCAGATGAGCTCGACAGCTGGTGACAGCAACTATTTTAGGGGAGACAACCCAAAATTCAAACAACTGCTGCCTTGTGGCTTGTTCTTGGTTGAACAAAGGCTATGGTGGGCTATGGGTAAAGTAAATTATTTCTATTTTATTTTAATTATTTGTCTACTTTGTTAAAACACATTTTTTAAAATAACCCTACTAATTCACATTTTCGTTTCGAGCATTGTACATAGTATTTGTCAGAATTTCTGGTTTTACAGTACACTATACAGCGTATTTTACTGTATACACATCAAAGAAGAGCATGTTAAAAGATGTTTTTCGTGTGTTAGTCACAAAACAAGCACAGAGAAAACTCGCTTAAAACATCCCATTAAAATCACAATTAGTAAAACTAAACAAAAATGCAACAAAAAATGCACGCACCAAAAGTATTGACAGACAGAAAATGCGCAAAATAATACACTGCGCATCTGAAAAATGCGCAAGCGAAAAAAAAAGCGCAGATGTGCTCTCTCGTTAACACACCAGACTGGAAAAACCCAGTATGGCTTAAGTGGTACGTCTAAACCAATAGTACAAATAATTTTTGACTAAACAGTACAATTATGTTTTTTTAAACAGGTGTCCAGATGAATATACAGGTGTTTAGGAACAACTCACCCTTGCTGTTTCTAACCAATGACCCGGTGTACAGTTACGATAGTCCCCAAGTCTTCCAGTAGTGAGTACCTATTGTATGTTTCATGTGACATAACGTGCAAGGAAAATTTCGAATTCCCTTTCATTCTTTTAAGGGAGAGGGTAGGTGATTTGTTTTAAACTTGGGTAGCCGTACTCAAAATACTTTTACATAGAGACTTGCCTTTTGTGGTAATTTTTATTTAAAAAGTTTATGCTATGGTTGGTTTCAAGGCTAGGTAATAGATCACTACTTTCATTACCTAGCAACAACCATATACAAGTCTGGAATGGGGGGAGGCGGTGGAAGGGGAGTGTCAGTGAGATACAACGATGTTTTGATTTAGTTACTTTAACCTTGCGAGGATGATGTTTGTTTTTTTAACAGCTTAATAACAAAAATTATTTGATTTTTTTTTAATATCTCATAAACATCCGAATTTTTCATTAGAATATTTCTGAAGAACTAATTACATTGTATTAACAAAATGTATTAGTTGTTATAATCTAATATAATATAATCACCCCTCGTTATAATCATCCCACATTATAATGATCCCACCTTATAATCACCACACCTTATATTCGCTACACGTTATAACTCGCAATTGATAATCATCACACGTTACAATCACACGTTATAATTCCTACATTTTATGAGCACTAGTATCAAAGTAATTATCATCTCCCCTAGCACCGACAACCCCGTCATTCTCCTGCCAGGGGACGAAATCGTGACCACCTGCACCTACACCACGGCCAAGTTAGACCACTCAGTTTTACAAGGGGATGCAACCTCTGACGAGATGTGCTTCGGCTTTCTCAGTTACTACCCTAAAAAGAACGTGACGAATAAGTTTTGTCTCACTGAAGGCCCTGATTTCAGGTAGAGGTCACTTCCGGTCTAATACTTAGTGCTGCAGGAGGATAAGTCATTTACTGTCACATGTTGTTTACAATTTTGTATTCAGTGTTTCTTTCAGGCGTCCCTTCGGGGGGAGGGGACGACACACGAACGAAAGCATACCGATAATATATAATACGAGCCTACCCGCGGCGTATCATACGCCGCTATTTAGTTGTTTTATTTTCTACTTTTCAGTAATTCATAATTTGTGAATTCGACAGTACCAATTCTGCCACTGAAAATATTTGCTTTAAAATACTATAAGTTTGTCGTTAAGGACGATAACCCCCCCCCCCCTCATTTCCCCCAACCCCTACCCTACCCTCCCCCAACCCCTACCCTACCCCCCAACCCTTACCCTACCCCCCCCCCCCCCCGCCCCCCGTGAAAGCAGCCTCCTCTTAATTACCTCCCCTAAGTTTAAAATAGTTTCAAACTAAATTATCTGCCCCTAATAGAAGTCACTAAACCCGGTTCTATGATTGTAAACATTTAGCGTGAACCACAGCTCACCAGACCATGTGGGGTGTGGGAGATTGATTTATGCCTAGTGAAGAAAGAAGGGGACTGCAAGGCAGCTTACAGCTTGTTTTCTAGCGTCTCCCAGAAGAGAATTCTTTTAACCGTGTCCAACTCCTTACCACCCCCCCCCCCCCCTTCCCCGCAGGAAAATTTAGTCTAGTTTCAAACCATCGAAATATTATTTTTAGTTTATGTGACAACAACCAGTGGGTAGAACGAGAATGTCGATACTGGGAGGGCAACTTTTACGAGCAGCTGTACCAGGACCTGGTGGTCAACTGCAAGCCGTTCACGCCCTGCCTACAGGAGTGTGTCCAGTTCATCGTGCAGGCGACACAGAAGAATGCTTGTCTACAGGGAGATAACTTTGAATTTATAAAGGTAGATAGCCACACACGTTGTATAAACAAAATAAAGGTAGTTAACCGCAGGTACAATGTGTGAATTCAAACCTGAGTAGTAATGGAATTTATATATACTAGCGTGGCCGTCCCCGCGCGTTGGCGTGGGGATAGAAGAAAGTCTGACGAAATATAAAAGAAGGGTTACATCAATGCGTTACACATCCTTGTTCTTAGACGCGTGACCCTGTTTTCTAAAACTGAGTTATTTAAATGTAAACAATGCATGCGCTTGGATCATAATTATCGGGACACGGGTTTACCTACACTACCGCATGAAAACCTTGAAAGTACGTTAATTATTTAGCAAAATAATGAGGTAGAACACACTTCGGTCACAACCCAGTTATCAAGGATGTAGAGGGGCGCTCTCGGGAGCCCCCAATTACACTACCGCAGAGGCGCCGAGTACGGCCCCTGGCTACATAAAACTAACAAAGCCGTACTCGTGCCCAGAGGGATAACCCAGAGTGCCAAATAGTATCCTGTTAACATAGATGCAGATTGTGTCATTCGCTAAAGTGACACAAATGAACAGGATTTTTTTCTTAACACGTAAAAAAATATTTCACGTGTTTTAAACATCATTGTGACTGATGCAATATGTTAACGTTACTAATGTTCTATTATTAGATGCTCAATTTCAATTTCTGATTGGATATTCTAAAAATACATGCTAATTGCATCATTCGCAAAGTGACTAAACTGTTTGGTTTTTTTACGGACAACAAGAAACATCCCAGTTAACAATCTAACCTTGGTTAATTTTTCTGATAATAAAATAAAATGTATTACAGGGCCCTCAGCGGTTCATGTCAGCCTTTAGGGGGCGAAACTGAAATTTTAGTTTGCTGCCGAATCGCAACCTACCAGGGTGCTGGCGGACTCGCCTGATTCAATTTAGTGAGCGACTGTAACACCCCATCTTATCCATTGTCTATCACACTGTTTAGACCGAACGTAGTCGCCATAGCGCTCATGAGAATGACGAGGGCGCCAAATCGCATCCTGCCGGGGAACACCCGTGCAAAATTTAATTCCGCCACCCCCCCCCCCCCCCTTCCCTCCAGAAACCTTCTCGGGAGTATTCATCAACTCCCTAAAGTTTTATGGAACTTGGATAAACGGTGTCGAATCGAATCTGACTTTCATTTTTTTAATATATCGCACCCTCCCGTTTGGCCGCACTTGCGAAATTAATTATTTTTTTTACAGAAACCTCCCATGGAGTGTTTTACTCGATGGCGATCGGATGAACGGTGTAAAACCGCAATCGACTTTATATATATATATATATATATATATATATATATATATATATATATATATATATATATATATATATATATATATATATAAAGAGAGAGAGAGAGAGAGAGAGAGAGAGAGAGAGAGAGAGAGAGAGAGAGAGAACAAATCGCGCCCTCCTGGGGCGCAACCTCTGCGAATTTGAATTTTTTTCCGCAGAAAGCTCACCAGAAATATTCTCAACAACTTCCCAAAGTTTCACGGCGACGTGATGAGAGTATTAGTAATGCATAAATGACATAGACACTAACTGACACACACACACACAACATACATTGCTTTATATAAATATAAAAATATATATATATATATATATATATATATATATATATATATATATATATATATATATATATATTATATATATATATATATATATATATATATATATATATATATATATACATATGAACATTTTACGAGTAAATAACTATTGCTATTAAATAAGCCACACCCATGTTCAAAGGTACCGGATGGCGAGATGGGGAGGTAGAGCGTACCATTGCAGGTTAGCGCCAGAGTTCGCTCAGCTCTGATGGGTACCCGACGGGGAAAACAAAGGCGGCTGGGCATAGTGCTAACCACACTAACCCTTCATATGCCAATACTAGAGAAACAGATGAACTCTACGTTATCTGCCTCTAGGGCTGCATTGTCTGAAAGGATTTTTTTTACAAAAGAAATATATTTGTTAGACGCTTTAATACACATTATACAGAATAATGGCTGTCTCCGCTACATCAACAATATTCCTCTAGTTACTCAGGTGTTTAAAACCCCGTTAGTATATCAGTACTCAGTTTTCTATTAACTTCTCTTCATGATAAAACATTAGTAGACATTTATGGCAATCTAAACCCTTCAATAAACATTGTTTACCTTACAATAAACACTGTTTACCTTTCAATAAACATTGTTTACCTTTCAATAAGCATTGTTTACCTTACAATAAACACTGTTTACCTTATAATAGACACTGTTTACCTGAAAGTAATCGATTTTTTACTTTTCAGAGAAACATGCTCATCAAGAGCGAAAGTGGTCGCGACATCATGGCCCTGATGGCCTCATGCTCAGTCAAAGTCTATCTGGCCACCCACTCAGTGGCCAACACCTCGACCCCAGTCTCTCTGGCCACCTTGACCACCACACCCACCAGTGAGGGTGGTGTGGACACCGCTCATCCCGTCAGTGCCGGAGGTCTGACAGTCATCTTGGTGCCAGCTCTGGTACTCCTGCTAAGAGTAAACTGAAAACTGTCGTGTCGTTTATTGACTTCAAAACACATGTAATCATATGCTCTTTTACCTGCACTTTCAGCACTATTTGTGCTCCTTATTGGTATGAATTTTTTGCTGCACTTTGTGATAGCTTGGCACAAGATTGATTCCAGTTTGTACATAGGGTCCATTGTGTTAATACTAGCTTCACCTTGTACATCCATCTCCACCACGTCAAAATCCAATCTATATAAATTATTCATTTAGACAGACTCCACCATCTATACATAATTCACAATCCACACACAATCCACCATCCACACACAATCCACCATCCACACACAATCCACCATCCTCACACAATCCACCATCCACACACAATTCCCCATCCACACACAATCCACCATCCTCACACAATTCACCAACAACACATAATCCACCATCCACACACAATCCCCCATCCACACACAATCCCCCATCCACACACAATCCACCATCCACACACAATCCACCATCCACACACAATCCACCATCCTCACACAATCCACCATCCACACACAATTCCCCATCCAAACTCAATCCACCATCCACACAATCTACCATCCACACACAATCCACCATCCACACATAATCCACAATCCACACACAATCCACCAACCTCACACAAGCCACTCTATTCACATAATCCACCATCCACTCACAATCCACCATCCACACACAATCCACCATCCAAACACAATCCACCATCGACACTTAATCCACCATCCACACACAATCCACCATCCACACACAAGCCACTCTATACACATAATCCACCATCCACTCACAATCCACCATCCAAACACAATCCACCATCCACACTTAATCCACCATCCACACACAATCCACCATCCACACACAAGCCACTCTATACAAATAATCCACCATCCACACACAATCCACCATCCACACACAATCCACCATCCAAACACAATCCACCATCCACACACAATCCACTCTCTACATCTTCCCTATCGTCTATACACGGATGACTGTATTTCCAAGTTGTGATATTTTTAAAATAAGTATTTCATTATAGCCTTGTACATTTTATAACAACACAAAACACAGATAAGGGAGGCTACTGCATAAATATAGTTGATCAGTAATCTTTGCAGTTAATTCCCTTTAAATTGTTGTATTTATTCACGTTATGGTAAATAAATTGCTGTTGAATTCAACTCACTGAGTATTTCATGATTTTGATATGTACACCACTAGAGCAGAGTTTCTTCCAGGTATCTCTTCGGGGGGGGGGGGGGGGGGGGGGGAGGGGGGGGGTACCCCCCCCCCCCCCCCGAACGGAATGAAATTTATATAATTTATATAGAAAATATATACTTTTAACAGTGTCCGCCCCCCCCCCCCCGCCGAAGAAAGTTTACCCCCCCCCCCCCCTCGAAAATTTCAAGTGCTCCCCGGAGAAAAAAGTCTGGAAGAAACACTGCACTAGAGATGTGCAGAGTTTCTTTCGGGCATCAATGCGATGAGGGGGTGGAGCACGTCAAACACCCCAACCCCTAATGAAATAGAGAAAAAACGTTTTAAAATATTTAAATAGAAAATATAAATACTTTAACCTGTGTCCTACCATCCACACCCAATCCACCATCCACAAACAATCTACAACAAATCCACAACCAATCCACCATCTACACACAATCCACCATTCACACACAATCCACCATCCACAACAAATCCACAACAAATTCACAACAAATCCACAACCAATCCACCATCAACACACAATCCACCATCTACATCTTTTAAGTGTGCCCCCTCCCCGATAGTTTGAAAGTTTCAAATGACTCCCTTCCCACCCTCCCCCCCCCCCCCCCAGAAGGAAAATGTCTAAAAGAAACAATATAGATGTGTTTATGTCTATTCTTAAATGCATAGAGATCCAAATACTCTTGTACGTCAACAAAATGTGCTTTTTAAAGTGTAAAGCGTTTTTATTTAATAATATATTGTTAAATTTCAAACGGCAGTACTAGGCTTAAGGGCCACTTGGCATCGACCACTTTTCAGGTCAGACAAGATCCTTACAACCACCACCCCTCTCTCTCTCTCACCCACCCACCCCAGAGGCGTAATTACCCCTCCCGGCGCCCGGGGACAAACTTTCAATTTGGCGCCCCCTCCCCTATATATATATATATATATATATATATATATATATATATATATATATATATATATATATTTATAATTCAAAATAGCAGCTAAAATGAGCTTATTTTGGCGCCAATAGGGTTGGCGCCCGGGGACATATGTACCTCCCCCCCCCCCCCCCCCCCCGTCCCTACGCCTCTGACCATCTGACCAGAAGGGACGTAAGAACTTCAAAAAAAAAATCTACAACTCTCCAACAAGGGACGATAACTACCGAGTTCACCAGGTACCGTAACTCGGGATTTTATTTACCCGTAACAAATCAACCGTGAACTGCGGCTCACAGAGCCAGAATCGAGCGTTAATGCCGGATTCGCTGAACCGTGAATGGAAAGGACCAAGGGAGAAGATCGACTCCATGAGGCAACACAAAAAAAAAATCAATCCAGATTAATCGATGGATTATTAAAAGTAATCGACCTGGAGAGTTTTGACCGGAAATATTCGGTCAATACAGGCAAGTGGGGATTGACCTATGTGTGGAGTACGGTAAGCAGGATTGTGGGGTTCGTGAAAGGGGCTCTCATTGGGGTTTTAGAGACGGATTCTAGTGTTTCTTGAGAAGGTTATGGAGGGTTTTAGAAAGCGGTTTTTTTTGTTGTGTTTTTAGATGGGGTGGGGGGGGGGGGGTGGGCTGAAGATAGGTCTAAAGAGTTAGACAGTTATTCCCGAAAGGGGTTTTGAAGAGTTCCAGGTTTTGTGAGGGGTTCTAGCGAGGGGCTCTAGCAGAAGTTCTAGAGTTGCTCTAGATAGATGATAATTGAGTTAGAATCAATCCCTTGCAGATTTACCTCAAAATTTACCAGACAAATAGTGGACGACGAGTGATTAATGGAGGCTAAACCAGATAATAAAACAGACTAACCCAGGATAAAACAGTGACTAACCCAGGCTAAAACAGTGACTAACCCAGGCTAAAACAGTGACTAACCCACATACACAAATTTTATTTGACGTAGTCTAGTTTCTACGATGCAGGCGTTTATGTTAAGAGAAATAATATCAAAATCTAAAAAGGTACGATCTATGGGCGAAACCTTATAAAGAAACAAAGAGTTGATTCCTTATAGTCAGATGTCATACGTCATAATGGTAAGAAATTGATGATAGTGATAGCTTTCTAGGCAACAATTGTAATTTATAAGTGTGTTTTATTTATTACTTACAAATTAAGTGTTTGGTGTCGACGCCTGCTCTGGGGTTGAAGACCGGTTTACAATGAAGATTACGTGCTGCCTATCACAATAACTGTGTGTGGCGATTATTAGTCCCCTGCCCCTCAGTCGTAGTAAGGAGCCAGCACACGAACACACACACACACAAAATAGCAAAATATGTGCTACTTCATAATTGTTGTTGAAGTTCATCCCTACTCCGACCCTGCCCGTACATAGCGCACAGAGCCTTCCCCCCATTCCCTAGGTGTTTAACGTCATGTACTGTTTGATTCTGCTATTATCTAATAGTTTCAAGGTAAAACGCGGTACGGAAAAATGCTTACTCAAAAACAACGTAAACAGAAAAATACGAACAAATTTTATTAATACATTTTCATTCAGTCATATTTCGTGGAAAAAAATATTATAACGCTCAGTTATTCTTCGCTAAATTTTTTAAAAGATTGATTGCAAATACATTCCCTTGTTTGTTTTTTGCATAGCTTTTCGTCGCCTCTTTTTTTTTAACAAAGCGTGACTTATTCAGTCAGAGGATTCATTAATTTTAAGCTAATAATTGTTTTGGTTTGTGGTAAGGTCTATCAGAGGGTCAGATTAGAAATCAGGGTCGTTACTCCTGATTTCCGCGGATTTAACTCACATGGGTCATCAACCGCTATCATCACTTTTCTAAACTGTAGGCCCGTAAACTGAACCTTACAGATCAGAATTATCCCTAACTGATAGACAAATGTGTTGAACAGACATAAGCTACAGTATGAACTTAATGTGATATAAAACTAAGGTGTACACATTTTTAAATAAATTGAGATATTTTATTTATAAAATATATATTAATTTAATAATTAGTGAATTTGCTTGAATATACAATAATTAATTGTTTTAAAGCAGGGATTTAGCAACAAATCTGTTTTTTTATTTATTATTTAGCAATTTAGTTTTAAATAAATCAAAACATTATATAGTCTCCCTTGCTAAAAGAGTTATGCGCCTTGAATAATAGTGTTGTGGAGTGCAGCAATATGAAAAGTGGTCTAGCGGTAGACGGCCCGATTGCTAACCCGAAAGTCGCGAGTTCGGATCCTGGGCTCGATGACCTGACTGAAATTAGATTCTGGTCTAGGTCTACCACTTTATCTACCCTATTGGCACAACTGTTCGATTTATTAACACTTAATTTTAGAAAACACGCACTACAATAAAAAGCACACATTTATTAACATTTAATTAACATATTGTACTAATTGCTAAAGTTCTGATAACCATTTATTGACATTTTTAAACGATTTATTTTATATAAACTTAAAATCGTAGATCTACTTTTTTATAATTATTAATCGTCGTCTTATAACATTAGATGGACGTCGTGTAGTAACTGATTAACGTCTTAAATTGATAGATCGGCTTCTTCTAAAGATTGCTGAGTCCTATAGCAATGGGACGATGTGGCCTGTGCGGTAGAGCGCTAGGCTGCTAACTACTCATCTCTGATGGGTACATAACTCAAGTTAGAGAAAGTAAAGGCGGCTGTGCAAAATGCTGACCACGCCTTCCCTTCATTGCCGAGGTCAGTCAAGAAACATATGAACTCTACTTCATCTGCCCAATTGATCACTAGGTCTAAAGAGTTCTTTACTTTTTATAAAGCAAGTGAATGACGTTTTAAAAGAAACACCCGAAGACCTCGCTTGCTTTTGTAAACTACCTTTCAGGTAACATTTTCAAAAACCAACACACCTTAAATTAAATCAGCCCAATTAAGCCTATTTAATTACCTAAGTTAATTGCACCCTAAAGATTTTTTTCCCCCAAGTACGCCAAGTATAAGCATGCTGTCTTCATCAATGCACGAGCACTCCACGTGTTGGTGGGCGATACCCATCAAGTCGGTGGGCGATACCGATCAAGTCGGTGGGCGATACCGATCAAGTCGGTGGGCGATACCGATCAAGCAGCGACCTCTGGTGTCTGGCACCCGGCGCCCCGCGAGCGGCTCCCCCCGCCCTCGCCTGCCGCTGGCACCGCGCCGTCGTAAAACGTATGCCGCGGTCTGCTAGTCGGCTCAAGTCTGCTGTGTGTCTGGCACTGTTTGTTTACACCGCGAGTTGCTGGATCAGTTTGACTCGTGGATACACGTACCCTCATCCACACGATGGATAAATCCACACTTGATATAAATATCAAATCATTTTTTTAAAATTAATAAATTTATTATTTTTTTAAATCTTGACAAGAGTGATTTCCCTTTCAGTATTAGGATAACGGTTTTTAATTCACCTGGATTAATGGATTATCCGACAACCAGGTAAGCGAGAGGTGGCTGTTGTTTACACTTGGCCGTGCTCGCGTGGGAGAGAAGTGTGAGTGGTTGTGAGGTGCGAAAATGTATTTTTAGCTTGTAAAAACGGTTTCAGTGTGAGTACTATCAAAACACTAGACGAAAGAAGGGGGATAACTGACATTAATGATGTCTTAATCAGCGGGTGAGGGTCAAGGTGTAAAGGTATTTTTTAACTTTCTCTTCATTGATCCGGTAGTCGGCTTGTCACATGATACATCAATCATGTGATATAGTCACGGGATTCGGGTCGGAATATAATCTCCGAGGGTACAAAAATAGAGGCACTTTGCTACATGGGGCTTATGTGTCGGGAAGGTACAGGGCGCTGTACTATTTGTTCGTATTATTTGAGCTAATATTGGCCGCATCAATAGGGCGCCGTATTTTTTGGGCTGACATAGGGCTTCTCAATATGGTACTGTGCTATATTATTTGTGCGTCTCAATAGGGTGCCGTATTATTTGGGCGACTTAAAAGGGTGCCGTATTATTTGGGCGTCTCAATAGGGTACCGTATTATTTGGGCTAACATGGGGCATCGTAATTTTTAGGGTCGTCACAGTGCACCGTAATGCACTTTAAGGGGGTCAACCCCCCCCCCCCCACAACCGAAGCACGTCTACCACCGCCACCACCCCCACCCTCTCCTCCGAACAAAATAGAATTTTAAATGGAAAATATATATTTTACCCGTTTCCGCCTATCCCCCCCCCCCCGAAAATTCCAAGCCACCCCCCCCCCCTTTCTCCTCCCGAAGAAAAAGTCTAAAAGAAACACTGGTGACGTATTAGTTGGGTTAACATAGGGCGCCGACAAAGTTGGGCTGACATAGGGCGCAGCAATAAATTGTGAGTAGAATCAATCGGTCTAATACATGGAGCTGCATTTCTTGAACTACCTGAGACAGATAATTTCCTTACCGTACTTTCCTAAGCCTAGTATATAATTTTATCCTGAAGACTTGTATAAGTAAAGGGTTGGAATGCACACTGACACCTAACAAAGTCTAGCAACTTTTAACTACACGACTGTATTCAGAACGAGGCTAATGTAGCAATGTGTGTTGTGAATGATCGTAATCTTACGCCGTTGTTGTGAGTTGCTTCATGAAGTGAGTCACCCAATTTTTAGTGAGTTGTTTTCATCGAGTTTTTATAAAAGGTTGGAGGGGGGGGGGTGGAGGATAACTGTTTATGTGTTGACTGTTATAGTTTTGATGAGCAAGGCATTGCGGGGATGAAGTCTGCTGACTGGATAATTTAGCTTGTTGATAAATGATTAGCATGCAGACACTTTTATCAATGTTGTGGTACGTGGTTCGGTAGCCACAACTACTGCAGGCTACATGGTTCGATAGCATTAAAAAGTGTGAGTATAGCATTTTAAGTCATTAAATGTAACACTAATTGAAATACGTTCTTTGTTTAATTGTATTAAATATGACGTAATTTACTGCAATAATTATTTACCTAAAATACCTTTTATTACTTTTTAACAACATTCAGTAGGCTGTTTTGGATTTTGTTTTTAAGGTTAAAATTTGCCAAAAGGCGATTATCTCGTCGCGAATCTAAAGCATTGATTAAAAACGTTGCTTGAAATGTGTAATGCTTCTAAGATGTTCTGATATAAACAAAGGTACAGTGTCTGACGTAAAGGCTATCAAACGAGCTAGACTGTGAAAGGAGAGTTTACTTTAAATTTGGATGTTTTCTCTATCATTTTTTTTGGTACCAAATAGATGTATTTTTCTTTGACATTACTTAATTTTTTAAATGTTTTTCTTGTCATTACATGGTAATGTAATTTATAGTTTATCAAACTAGCCTTAATTTGGTCAAACTTACGTTAAAAATTATAAATAAATATTTACAGGAATAAAGGTGGTTCTTATTAAATCATAGTTAATCAAAAATTTTCTTACGTTACGCGTCATTTTCGTTAAGATTGATTTTTTTTTCATCAATTTCTTCGTGGCTAAGATTACCGCGGACTACTGTAAAAGGTTTCTTTGATAAATTTAAACCATAAAATTTATTTCCTTCATATTAAAGAGCAGTTTAAAATTATTATTTTTAATAATTAATTGTATGTAATAGCCACAGTCCAGAAACGTAAGCGAAGAATGTTTATACCGGTGTCCGATAATGGAATCTTCTTTTAAAAAGGGGTGTTAGGTTACTGGTAGTTAACTAAATGCACACATGGCTGGCTAATGTCAATGCTAACCCTGTCACTAACCCCAACCCTGGTCCTACCATATGCCTAACCCTAATTTCTAACCATAAAATTAGTCGAGATTACATAGGGGGCCAAGGCAAATAGGGGTCCTTTTTCGAAAGTTTGAGGGGGGGGGGTGCAAATCGAAAGTCTGAGGGGGGGGGGGTGCATATCGAAAGTTTGTCCCCGGTCGCCGGGAAGGGTCGCTACGCCTCTGAGGAGTCCACTAACCTAACACTTTTCGCATAGGGGCCCAAAAATCCTAGCTACGCCACTGACCGGAATCTATAATCATACAAATGAATTCTTACAGATTTTGGTTTGAGTGTCGATTAAGGTTCAGGTGTTTGACTCAGTGTTAAGGATAGGTTTAGGTTTCATCGTTCTGCGGTTGAGGCTCTGCTTGGGGCTCTTAAGGGAAACCACTCACTCAATCAAATTAATCTAGTCATTATGAAACACCGCCTTTTTATTTAGAGTTTTCATACCACTATCATTGAGGACATGTCATAATTAATTAGAAGGTGCATTTAAGCGACTCTACCCCCCCCCCCCCCCACACACACACACACAGACGCCTACACCTAGAATTCATGTTAACATTGAACTTTTTACTCATTATTTCTTTTAAAAGTAAAGTTAATGTAGCCTACGTTACACTTTTATTTTTTTTTTAAAGAAGCATACAGTTAGTTATTAATTATGGAATCCGTAACAAGTCTCAAACGTAGTTAAAATATGAATATAATATTGTTTATAGCCTTGGCCTAACGGTAGTCCTACTTACTTTAACTCTATTATTAGTAAAATGTTTATAATTGGTGCATTTTGGGTGCTCTTTGTATTTTAAAATCAAGAAACTCATAACCACCAGAGTGGCGTAGCGAGGTCGGGTGTCACCCGGTCCGGTGCGGCACTTAATGGTGTCACCCCCCTCCCCACCTCGGGGACAAACTTGCAATTTTTTATTTGCCCCCCCCCCCCCCTCAAACTTTCGATTTGCACCCCCTCCTCAAATTTTTCTCTATATACTTTTACTATTTTTTGCCTTGGTGTCACCCCCCTAAATGGTCGGTCCGCACCCCCCCCCCCCTCGCTACGCCTCTGAGCCACCATAGTTTGTGTTATCAATGGGACCATGTTCACAGCTAAACAATTTAGTTCGAAAATTCATACATCTCCCTGGCTAACGAGATTTCGAATTTTTAATTGAGATAGCTCGAGACTTACCAGCTTTATTACGTCAGCAACATATCTCCCAATGAGTCTCACAACAAAACAGTAACCACTCGGTCCCAAAACGCGCGAAAAACTAGACACACAGACGCCCCTGAGCGTTGGCTAGAGAACAGAACAACTGTTCCGAGTACCCAGTTGTTGACACTCGATACCCGTCATTTTCATTGGACCCCACACTTCCGGCAGTAGTCGGTTACTCGAGCAAACAATGCGTGAATCGATTATTTTATTATCCCGTGTTGCGTCAGTGTCGACATGTGCTATTTATAATCTGCGGTAATTCCCCTTTGTGCTTTAAGCTTGGGCTTAAAATTATTTTACATTTTGTATTGAAATAGAGCATCTTGTAATGTTAATATTGGTAATTAAACAAAATGGTTATAGGAAACGCAATATTAAATTAAATGTTGCTGCAAGGATAAAAACGGTAATTGAGTGATCGTTACTACTATAGTCTCGTTATCTCCCTTTTTCTATTGAATATGGCAATGTGTTAATGAATTTTCTAAATTACTAATTTAATAACCAGGAAGATTGAAAAAATGTTTAAATTTGTTTTGTCAACAAAAACTAATATGACCCTGATAATTTGAATAAAATATCTTTATTAGAATGAGTCAGAATAGATTTACAAGATTTGACTTAAATTCCATCCCTGAACTATTTGACCTGAGAAAAATAGAAAACAAAAGCTTCCAGCAATAGAAAAAAAAAAAAAAATGAGAAGGAATTCTTCTAAAAACCATAAATTTGTAAGGTTATCTCCCCGTAACGCTGAAAATATACACCAATTAAATCTGTGGTTTGTGGGTTATAATTGGCACGTCCTTGACCTTTGAGATGCTGAGCTGTCTTGTCATGCGACATAAGGGTGAAGGAATTTTTTTTATATCAGATGTGACAATGATGATGGCATTTAATCGAGGTAGTGGGCCTGAAAGATGGGTGGATGGCAAAAACTGTAGGTAGATAGTGACTGTCGTCAACATGGATCTAAAGTAGACAACAAGCCTCATCTGCCCGAGGGTACAATCTCGAGACTTTTCGGTTAAGTAACCATGAGCTTTACTGACTTGACCACGCCGTCCCCTAAACATTGACCTAAATTTCACAAAGATTAGCGTCAAATATAAACCTAGTGTTGACCAAGATTAGATTCAAACATAGACCTGAAGTAGACAGGACTAACTTAAAATCTAGAAATACTCTGGACAAAGTCCATTTTTAGTATTTGATGTCTCACCTTCTTACACTCACACACACAAACACACACATATATATATATATATATATATATATATATATATATATATATATATATATATATATATATATATATATATGTAACTAGGGTAGGCCTAGCTACTAGTTACAACTGATAACGAACGATAAGCCGCGACGCAGTATTACAGTCTGATGCAACGGATAGCAGGTGGCTTATTAGATCGGACTGATAACAATCTCAAAGCCAACGCGTGCTATTTTGGGAAACGGTACGAGGGGATT